AGAAAATAAATATAGAAAAGCCCGGAAAAATATAAATCTATAAGAAATATTAAATAGCTATATATTTTATAATAAAAAACTTATTATATTAGACGAATATAATAATTTATAAACTAGACTTCTATAATAAATCTATAATATAATAATTACTATATATTCCGGTTAAAATAAAATAAAAATTCTAGTTTAGAAACTTTACTAATAGCCTATTTTTTCTATAAATATTAATTGCTTTATAGCAAACTATTATAAATATTAAAGGTTTTATAAGCTAAAAAACAAAATACTAGACCTATTATATCTATTACCGGTTTTTCTAAAAATATAGAATAATTTATTTATAAACTTTTATATTTCTAGTTCTATAAATAAGAAATATAATAATATATTTATTATAATTAATTAATTATCCAAATAATATATAAGCCTACTAATAACTAAAAATATTATAGCTAGAATTACTATTAGTCTATTCTATTACTATATCTAGTAATTCTGAGAATTTCTTCTTATTATTATAAATAACTAAAAACTCTAATTCATTTTAGACTTTATAAATAAATAATTAAGATTAACTAGAACTAAACTAAAGCTCTTAATTATAAAATATATCTAAACTAATAAATAAACAGAAATTATTAACTAGATTATTAATATCCGATTTTATCTCTTTATTAATTACTTCTAGAATAATTAGATAGATTTATTTCTAATACTTAATATTATAAGTATTACTTATCTATATAAATTAATTGGCTTATTTCCCTTAATAGTTAATTATAAATATAAATTCAGGCTAAACTTTAACTAGATACTACTAATAATAAAGTTTAAAATATCGAGAAAGAAACTTAATTAGAAAGAAGTATAATAGTAAGCTAAGAGAATTAATACTATTATTAATTATACCCGAGAATATATAGTAATAGCTTAGGAATATTAAGTCAAGTAAGCTAATAAGAAATAGCGAGAACTAGATTTTAGTTTAGGAAATATAGTCTATATAATTAAAAAAAAAATATAGAAAATAAACTATTTATCTAATAAATTAGACTATTTCTTTACTAAACTATTTAAGATTAATAAAATAGTCGGCTATTTATATTAATTAGACCTTTCTTTATTATATAAAATTTGGCTAATTTTTTATATAAATAAACTTTATAAGAATTCTACTAATTTACTATCTAGCTAGACTAATAAAGAGCCTGGTTTTACTAAAGTTAATAGCAAACTCGAATAGGAAGTTAAAAAGATTCTCTTTTCTAAAATACTTTATAATAAGCTTTATTATAAGATTAAATAGAAAAAATAGAATATAAATAATAAATAGTATCTTATATTAAACTTTAAGAACTTAGTATTTAAACTATATAAATTCTATAAATAAAACTCTAGTAAAATAAGACCTCCTATTTAGCTAAATAAATAGATTTGATATACTAAAAAGAATAAGTTTAATAAAGACTATTCAAATAATAATAAACCTTAATAATAAAGCCTCTATAACTAGAAAAAAAAAAGAAAAACCTAGATATTTCCCGGGTTTTATTTAAACCCTAATATATTTCCTTTATTCTATTATATTAGTACTTATTCTCTTTTCCAGAAATCTAAATAAAATACCTTTCTTTACTATATTAGATTATGCTTTATTATCTAGGCAAATTATAAAAAAAAAGTAAATTCTTAAAACTAAACTAAAAATAAATACTTGCTTATATTAGTTTAAAATATTATTAAAAATTAAGAGAAATCTTCCTAATTACTTTAATTTTTATAACCTTAACTATTTATATTACTACTACTACTTTAATAGAACTATTAATAAAGACGAAATAAATAAGAAATTCCGGTAATATATTATTTATAGCTGGACTAAATAAGGCTACTTGCCAGATTCTAGATAACTTAAATAATAATAATAATATTTCAAGTTTAGTAATTACTATTATTATTAATATAATTACTATTATTATTAATATAATTACTATTATTATTAATATAATTACTATTATTATTAATATAATTACTATTATTATTAATATAATTACTAGCCAAATTACTTTTATAAATAAAAATAGTAACTTTCTTACCTAAGAATAGGTTAATATATAAAATATAGCCTGTATTACTCTTAAGAATATACCTGAAATTACTATAGAGAATATTTTAGTAAAATATTCTAAAAATAATAAAATAGAGGTTTTAGTTACTAGTAATAATAAGTCTAATAATTTAATAGGCGGAATAGATAATACTAATAAGAGCTTTCTTATTAATTTTATAGAGCCAAATACTAAAAAAGTCAAAAAAAATAAGGCTAGCTTATTTAAGAAATATAAAGTATTAGATAATAATAAGAATTCTAATAATAAAAAAACTAAGAATAGAAAAACTTCTAGTAATAAAGGAAACTCTAACTATAATAAAGGTAACTAAACTAGTATTAAGATACCTATTATAACCAGAAAACGTATAATACTAAATAGTAATTATTATATAAAGTACTAGTCTAAAACCAAGAGCTAGTAAATAATTTTAAAGGCCAAATTAAAAAAGTAATACCTTATAAATATTAATAAATTAGTATATAATACTATTTAGGAAGTCAGAAAACTCTTTAAAAGCTTCTATAAGACCAAAATCATATAGCTTAAGACCCGGGAATTTAATAATAAAGTAGCTTAAGTAGCCGCTCTTAATATATAAGTTTCTATTATAGAGAAATAACTTGAGAATATATATATTAAGCTCGAAAAGGCCCAGAAGTTAATTAAATAGCTCAGAAACAGTATAATTAAGTCAAATATTACTATTCTAACCAAGAAGAAAGGCAAGCAAGCTATTATATTAAAGCCTATATTAATAAATAGACTTAATCTACTATTCCTATTCGAAAACCGCTTGATAATAATAGCCCTAATATCGGCTATAGCCTATACGGTATTCCCAGACTATATTATTAATATGGGTATAGGCATAATACAAGCGACGGATACTAAGGACTAGCCGGAACGTACTAGGAACTGGGTTATTCTGGCGGAGTCAAGACTATGCTTCGATTATAAGTAAGCTATAGGGATTAGACGGAATGGGGTCAATGGCCGTTATTTCCTCTTTTTTCTTTTCTACACTACGGCTGAATAATCCCCTAAATAAGGGCATTTAGACTTCTCTTTGGGGGGGGGTGATGTGACGGCTAGTGTAAGGGCATGATCTGCCAAGGACAGTATATCGGAAACAGGCATAAAACGAAGCTAAGCCAGAATTGCTTGGACGGAATAATACTAAAGGTCAAGGCATCCTCCCTACTTTGTTCCATAGCTTAGTATTTTCTAATACATGAGATTCTTTGAACTTTGAGCCTTTGACCATTGCATTAATCCCGCCGTCACACTCTGCCTCTTCTTTATCTCCTCTTTATATCACGCCTCAAACTTCCCTTTGGGCCCCCCTTTTTAAATATAACTCCTGTAACCTTTTCTTTTCCCTTATTTCCCAGGCCCTTCTCTCGGCCTTCCCATCCTCACACTACTACTACTAGTTCCGGAGCTTTTGCTTCTTCTCTTAAATCGGCTCCCGTATATAATTATTAACTGTAATTGCCCGGTACCCGGCCCACCCGCTCTCTTTCTTCCCAGTCGCTTGCTGCCGGAGCTGGATATAGTTCGCAAGCTGGGTATGGGTCGGAGGAGAATTCAGGTATAAAGTGCGAGTTCTAGTTAGAGCTCGATAACGCTTTGCCTTTAAATTCCGGTGATAATAGGGCTTACAGGTAAGAAAGCGGCCGAGATCGCGAAGTTGCAAGTAGCTTAAGCAACGGGTTTGCGGCCCTAGAAGTATTAGCCTGCCTATAAATTGGTCCGTTAACTTACCTATAGCCTGCTCCCCCTTCCCCTCCTCTCTCTTTCCCTCTTCCTCTCTCTCTCACCCCTGAATTACTATATAGTATAAGGCCTGTTACTCAAGGCACGAAGTATATGTTGCGGTTTGCTAGCTATTCTTTAGGGAGAACTAAAAGATTAATTGAGGGCAGTAATATCCGGGGCAGTATAATTAATTTAATTCAGGTTAATTTAATTGAGATATTATAAACTAAAGTAAAGTATAAAGCGTGGTTTGGTATTCCCGTATAGGCCTTTATATAACAGGAAATGTTTTCTATAAATTATAACTATAATAGCGGGATTAATGCAATAGTCAAAGACTTAAAGTTTAATAAATCTCATATATTGAAAATACTAAGCTAGAGAGCAAAGAAGGGAAGGAATGCCTCGACCTTTTAGTAGTATCTTGCCCAAGTATTCTGGCTTAGCTCCGTTTTATACCTGTTTCCGATTCCCTATTCCTGGCAAATTATACCGTTATGCCAGCCGTTATAATAACTCGGTATTATATAGATTTTGGAGGTATAATATATAGTAAATAAAGTAATAGAATTATCTGAAGAGACGTCTTCAGGTAAGGTAATTTCCTAGCCAAATTGGAGTAATTGTATAGGGCTTAAAAGCACTCTCTTGCTTGTGTAATAGATCCTCACTAGGCCAAAAGGTTCCTTTATTAGTGGAATCGAACATAGTAGCGTCTGGCATCGTAATTGTAATGCAATTAATAATTTAATTAAGTATTCAGTGATTTATTTACATGTAAATAGGAACCAGAGTTTTGGTGTTCCTCCGGATTAATAGTTTTCCGATGAACGGGCCATAAAGCTGGCGGCAGCGTATCGGATACCCCCTGTACTCGAACCCGTACCTATTCTCGAAAGCGCACGAGTTCACAATAATGCTCGGGCCACGTGAAAATCTGGTTCAAAATTCGGTATATTCATTGTTCATCCCGGGCCACTATAAACTACACATCCATCCCACCCTATCCGACCAAAACCCCTCACAAAATGAAGATAGCTCTTCCCTCTGACTAACGTCTTTTCTTTCTTGCTGAGAATCCATGCTCGTGACTATGCTACAAAAGAAGTGTTTCCACCCGGCCACTGAATATTCCATTCCCATTGTTTTCCTTTAGACGCCACGCTTGATCGACCCCTTGAATATTGGGGGGGAAAACATATCCTGACAAAAGTCATTCCTCCCTTCCGTTGCTGTCCATAGGCGCCGATCATGCATCTTCCCAGTCCTTCCTAATCCTGCCTCAGTCCAGTCGTATATCATGCAAGACCATGGAATCCTTTTATCCGTCATATGCAACCATTCATCCATTTTTCTCATGAACAAAAATTCGATTAAAGCCTCCCCAAGTGCCGAAAAGTAGAATGAATTCCAAATTCGCCGATTATGTAACTGGCTCGCTCAACTATCCATCACAACCTTTTTCGCCGTCTCCGTGCTGCCAACACTGGCATTCGTATCTCTCCTCTCGATCTTCCTGAGATCAATCCTGCTTTCAATCGGTGACTGCGGCTTTGGCTTTCTCCGCGTCATTGTCAAGCCCTCGTCGCTATCCGAGTCGTCATCGTCAATGTTATCGCCGTCCCCGTTGTAACCTTCATCTTCCTCCCCGGGTGAGAGGAGGATTGCATCTTCAGGCGCATCGGGGATGGGAGTTCTGACTTCGGCGGACACTTGCTTAGAAAGCAAGGGTGGGGTGAGAGTCTCGGGTGTACTATGAGCAGTCTCCGGATGTTGAACCACACCTGGAAGCGTGAGCATCTCTCCTTCTGGGTCGGCGGATACTGAAGATGCGCCCGAGATCAAAGCCGGAAGCGATGGGACAGATGGGAGATGGGAGAACTGCTCTGTGGAGCCACGGTTGTCGGAGGAGACTGGCGAGGTCAGGTCGGAGGGTGAAGTCAACGAGGCTCTGCTGGTGGAATTGACCGAGCTGTATGACCGAGCACGGCTCGCCTCTTCCTGTCTTTTCCGAACAACCTCATCGTCCGGGGATGGAGGACAGGCAGTCGGAGAGTTACCGTAATCTAGAGCCACCTGCTGCCGCTTGTGCTCGGCTTCTTGCTCCAACTTTCTTCGTCTCTCAAGGGCATCCCGTGCTCGTTGGAATAACTCAGGTGTACTCGGTCCATAGACTCGAGGGTCAGGAGTTTTGCCTTCTGGCGTTCGATTCGCTGTCGAAGGTCGTTGATCCAGATTGGACGCAGCATACTGAACCTGGTGAACATTGGGAGTGGATGAGGATTGGCCCGTCTGATGGGCGTGGACCAGATGGGGTTGGAAGAAGAGTGGAGATGCAAGCGGTTTTTCGTAGTTAGTCGGGCTGACATCAGACGAACGAGAGAGTGGACGGGGATGGTTCAGTCTTATAGGGTGCTGGAAGAGTCCAGGAGCGGTTGCAGTGCTCATCGCCACGCTTGGTTCTGCATGCTTGTTATCCGACTCGAAAAGGCTTCTGTCAACCGAGCGAGCCCTTGAAGAGACACCTTCGTCAATGCCTTCCATTACTTCTCGACCTCTAGGATTCCACAAATGACCTCCAAATAGAGCTTCCAAATGATGATCCCCGAAGAAGTTAGGGGCGTGCGGGGCTTCCTCCAGTGTTGGGGACCTAGGGGTGTTCATAGACCGTGAATGCGAGTGGCCACGGTGAACGACTGTCTGAATAGACGCGGCCGCCGAGACGGTACGATCCGGCGGACCTGGTCTTTGATCAGGATCTGCTGCGCCAGACGGCACACGTTCACGTTTTGGAGTGGCTCCTACCGAAACAGATTGCTGAGTAAAGTCAAGCGCAAAGGGGTCTCCCTCGGTTGCAGAGAGATCTGGGCTCGCCGTCAGGCTTTGCGCAAGAGGATGCTCATATGGCTCGCGGTGGCGTTCATGGCGATACTCTTGAAGATCGCTAGCGGATGAGAAGTAGGACTCGTCTCCTCGGAGGCTTGCTCGTCGATTGTCTCGTCGAAGTGGCCCCACTGGGGTAGAGTTGTGGGTATCTGTTCCGGAACTTGTGGCGCTGCTGGCAGCTCTTCGCCGAGATCCTTCGCTCCTTGTCTCACTCCTCGTCACACCGATAACCTTTCCAACAGCCTTCTTTACTGCAGACCGCGCACGCTCCAGGAAGGTAATGGGAACAACAGCACGCTCCAATTCGTTCCAGTCGACTTGGATCCTCCTGCCGGCAGTCTTCCGTGATGGATCCGTGTCGTCAAGCCAGCCGATAAAGTTGTCAATACCGTGAATCACCCACGGATGACGTTTGACCTCCCTGAGCTTGATTCGCTCGGCGGGGTCCTTGATCAGCATCCTTCGAAGCAGATCATATAATTCATCGTCAATTTCCTCGAACGCGAGTTCTCCGTCTTCTCTATATGGACCTGTCGAAGGGCCGATGCGTTTAATCGGGTTTGATTGTGGAGTTGTACAATTGGGGTCGACAGCCTTGAGGCGTCGTCTAGGAATGTATACATCTGCTTTTGCGATTGCTCGGAAGAGTTGGTATTCATCGTCGGCGAGGAAGGGGATGCGAGCGTAGATGAGACAATAAAGAGTGATACCCAACGACCAAACATCGATTTGCTCAGTGATTCTTGGCTGTTCGATTTCGAGATCCGTGTAGCAGAGTTCGGGTGCGAAGAAGGCTGGAGTGCCGACAGTCTTGGCAAGTTCGAGATCATCATCGAAGTCGGTGGCATCAGCTTCCGAAATATTTTCTTCTGTTTCGCCGTCTCTAATTGGTCGACCGAAGTAGGAGACCCCAAAGTCAGAGATCTTGACGCGATGATCCTTTGTCCAGAGCAGATTCGCAGGTTTGATGTCTCTGTGGACGATGCCTTCGTAATGGAGATACTCTAGACCTAGGACAGTGTCCCTGAATGCTGCTCGAGCCTGGTCGATGGTGAAGCATGGGACGTAAGAGAAATCATCTTCAAATGCATCGTGCTGCATGTCGTCGACCGATGACATGTGTGAGATGATGCTATCAGCCATGCTTGGCGATCTCCCACGATACGGAGGGTCGTCGGGGTATGCGCCGTAGTATGTTCCTTGCAAGGCGGTTGATGAGCCGTGATTGGATAGGATGGAAGGTAACGGTCCAGGCTCGTCGCCTTCATTGTCACTGTCGATGGCAGGAATATCAAACTCGGTGGGAAGTGGGGTATGCGCACGAGAGCTTGCTCGCGAGGGAGCTCGAGATGATGCTCGTGATGGGCCTCGAGAGCCAGGGTTGGATCGAAGTGTTGATGATCTGTGGCGAGTGAGGTTCTGCGCGGAGTCGTTTGTTGTGACCTTCGAAAGCACTGAACCCTCCGCATCGGCGTCATCGTCGCCATGCTCCAAGCTCCAATAGTCTGGGTAGCCTTGTGCGAGTTGTAGCTGGGATATCTTGGCTCGCTTTGCTTCCCTTTGTTGCCGGCGTCTCTCGATCATCTTGAAGTATTTCTCGTCATCTCCAGTCTCCTTCTCTCCGCTCTGCTCTCTCTCTATGCGTCGGCGTTCGAAGATGCAGATCTGGGGAGCACCTTTCTTGCGCCATATTATTTCTCCAAGCTCAACATGCTCCAACACCATGTAAATCTTCTTCAACTCGGGGTCGTCGATGACTTCGAGCAGGCCGACGACGTTGGCATGGCGGATCTTCTTGAGGATGGCGATCTCTCTCTTTGTCTTGTCTTCGGGCGAAACGGTGACTCGTCCAAGCTTGCGCTTCTTGGAGAAGCGTTGGATGATCTTGATCGCAACATAGTCGCCCGTCTCGAGGCTTCTTGCCAATTTGACCTTGCCGTGCACTCCTCTGCCGATCTCTTCGATGATCTCGTATTGGTTTATTAGTTTGCGGCCGGTGATGAAGTCCTGCTCGACCTGGGCTTTGTGGGTTCTAATTTGCACATGTCAGCGGTGGTCAGGGCGTTATTATGATTGAAAAGTGAAGAGAGCGAGAAAAACAATTCTGGGGGATAGTATGTTGAATAGCACCATTAATTGCCTATCTCTACCGGTCGCACGACGAAATATTGCGTTGTTGTGGTGCAAGCCGGCCGGTAGGCAAAAGTTTGGTGGGATGGCTCGAGGGACACCCAAACGAGACGAGGCAGGCAACTCACTCTCGAACTTTATGCATCTGCAGCGGATGGAGATAGGGACTCGATTGCGGCGTGCCATCTGGCAGCGAGGAGATATGCTGGCGGATTGGATTGTTGGAGGGACTGAAGAGGCCAGGACTCGACGAGGGCGTGCTCACGGCCGTGTTCGCGGTGCTTGCTGCTGGGTCCATTGTTGAGGTGCAGCAAGGCAAGAGTCGACATGTTGGGGCGACAACCTCTGAGGAAGCGTTTCGGGGGGTCAGCAGGTAGCAGACATTGCAGTGGGTGGAGACAATGTCCTGGTGTGCGCGAGCGAGGAAGTTGTTGTCGTCGTCGGCGGCGGCGGCGGCGGTGGTGGTGGTGGTGGTGGTGGTGGTGGTGGTGGTGATGCGAAGGTGTTGATGTGGTACTGGTGTTGGTGCTGTGCTAAGCTGGCGTTGAGGAAGGAAGCGGGCGAGGGTCGGTGGGAGTTGAATCGTTGATGAGCCGGGTGGAGCGCTGCGGGCTTGGCTGTGGGAGGGGTGGAAGTAGTGGTGGGAGTTTTGTGGGAGTAGCAGAAGTGGTAAAAGTGGTGGATGCAGAATCAGAATCAGAATCACAATGGGGCTCGGGCGCTGTCATTTTACTAGCGCAATCGCGGTTGATTGTGGTGCGAGCAGGGACTGGACAAGGCCAGCCTGGTTGGGGTTGGGTTGGGTTGGGGTCCTTGGGGGGAGCGGCGAGTGGCGAGTGGAGGGGCCGAGGACGCGAGAGGCAGCAAGGAGGAGCAGGACGACGAGGGGAGGGGGAGGGGAGGGGCGGCGACTCAGGCGAGGGGAGGGCAGGCACAGATGAAAGCAGAGAAGGCTGCAGCGGTTGAGACTGCACGGCTCACCTGGGTGAGTGAGGCCTGTCCAGCCTGTCCAGCCTGCCCTGATCAGATTGACGAGTGAGGGGCTGAGCGAAGCTGCGTGAGGGCCACTCTCCGTCCAGTGTTCTCCCGGCTGAGGACAGGCCCGGCAGCACGCGAGAGGCGGGAGCGAGGCGGCGAAAAGTGGTGAGGGGACGTGCGGTGCAGTGAAGTGCAGTGAGGTGAAGTGAAGTGAGGTGAAGTGAGGTGCAGTGAAGAAGTGAAGTGAAGTGAAGTGAAATAAGAGAAGTGAAGTGTGTGTATGTGTGCTGCTGCCAACAAGTGTGGCCTGCCTGGTCGGAGTGAGTCGTGCAAGTAGAACAGAGCAGACCAGACCAGAGCAGAACACAACACAACACAACAGACAACTTCGTCTCCCTCCCTCTCCGTCGCCTTCCATTATTCTCCAGCAGAGCAGAAACCTGTGTTCCACTCCACACTGTCCCGCCGGGCTGCACCCACCAAAGTTCAAGTTCAACAGTTCTCCCGCAACCGCCCAATCAAGGTCCGCGCCGAGGTCTCCCGCTGCTGATCTACCCCCCCCCCCCCCCCCCCCCCCCCCCCCCCCCCCCCCCCCCCCCCGCCCCCCCCCCCCCCCCCCCCCCCCCCCCCCCCCCCCCCAAAATAATTCTCCTGCCCCGGGGGGGCTGCTTCATCGAATCGTCTGGCTTGTGCCGATTACCATTCTTCACGCCCCGCCGACCACCAACAGCGGGCCCCGTCTGTGGCTTGGCAGGAGAGAAGCAGATCGATCCGTGGATGCTGGATGATGATGCAACTGAGCAGCAGAGTGGGCAAGAAGGGCAAGAAGGGTGTGATGGAGGCGTGGTGATCAGCTGGCTTTTCAGTAAGGCTTGGGCTGCCTGGGCTGAGGATGCCGGAGGTGTGTCTCCTGGGCTCAGAGCGAAGAAGGAGATGGTTTACAGAGTACCAGCACCAGTACTGGTATCAGATACAGCATAGTCCAGCGCGCAATCCGCATCACCAGGTGCAAGTCGACGGTTGGAGCGGGCAAATCAAATACTAGGATAGCCGCCGTATGCAGCGACAAAGGAGGGGACTTTCCTCCGTACTCATGACTACGGAGTATGGAGCAGAGGAGGGGAAATCCAGGGCCCGACTTCATTCCCACGCCGCGCTGGCTGGCCTCGTTGCGGCATCACGGCACCTCCCTGACTTGAGGGCTTGAAGTCCAGACCCAAGCCAAAACCGAGGCCCGTTTCCCCTCAAAATGCCTCCCATGCCTCCAAGCCTCCTTCTGCTGCTGTTGTGAGACGCTCCACGGCCGACCCTATGAAGGCGGAGGGCATGCAGAATGCGGAGTAGTTGTGTACTGTTACACTCTTTTCCGTCTCTGGTTCTGCAACTGGTGCTGGCTTGCCCTTGATTTTTCCTTGCATGCTGCTGCAACAATGAACGTCCTGCACCGCACATGCATCCTTACTGGGAACTGCGTATGTTGCAGCACATCCAATCTATCTCTCTTCTGATATCTTCTGATATGTTCGCGGAAACTCCTCCTCGGGCCTGCCTGCCCCTGCCTCACTGGCGCCAAACGGCAGCCGGCCTCAACAAGCCATGTCTCCCCATGAAATCTGCTCACTCTACCTGCTCACTCTCTCTAACCAGGTGCTGTGCATACAGCCACATCGGTTCCTTCGGGAACAACCATTGCAATCCAATATCTCCTTTCATTCTCTCTCGATTCTCCGAACTGTTGCCGTTGCCTCACGCCTAGTTGATCCGGTATCATGTGTTCCGCTTCCGAGTCATGGAGGGGTAGCCAGCATCTGCACGGCAGAGTGGTGGAGCTCTTCAGAAAGTTCAGGAGACAGTCTGACACATACATACCCTGCAGTACGGACCGTACAACAAACTACCCATCCCCAACATCTGACTTTGATTGCGACCGGGGTACCTCCAATCTGGGTCAGCATGCGATCCGAGTTCACCCTTCCATTCCTTGATCCAAAACTCGGAGTCACTTCCGTACCTTGCGCAGAGGCCGGAAATAAACTTCGATTGCGTTTCCATCTGTACGCAGCCAGTCAAGGAGCACCAGGGAGACAAGATAAGTAAGTAAACATGTGCCCAGCGTAATCAACACCCTACCACAGCCCCCCTTTTCGCCCCTCCTTACTCCGTACTGTCAGATTGTCAGATAAAATCTACTCTTGCAGCCCAATTCATCCACTTCAACCGCTTTGCGCATGCATCCTCCCTCTCCCCTTCCCTTGTGGAAAAAACTTTCTAGCCTAGCTTTCTATGTGAATCGATAGGTCATATCCCCAGGGGTGTGTTGAACCGAGGCCGAAGGCCAGGCTGAGCATCGCGATATCGGCGCTCGAAATCTTTCCAGAACGCAGAGCAGCGACAACACCAGCGACAGGACTTCACGATGCCACATCTCTCCACTCGCCACGACCGGGCAGCAGTGCATGTTCCCTAACCCTACTGCCTGCATACAGTGACCCCCATCTACTTGGCTGCCGGCACGCTCTCACGTTGTTCTATCTCAAGTGTACGTGGGACGTCGAATGGAGAGGCGAGGGGTCAAATGATTGGCGTTCCAGCTCTCCTCGCGAAGAGAATTTTTTTACGATAGTTCTTGGGGATTGGGTGCGATGCGCGTGCTATCAATGTCCACTTCATGTCATGCATGAGCTGCTAGAATTGGCCTCACGTGCATTTCTGCTTCACGAATCGATGGGGGTTCACGAGAGCATTGGTTCTCTGATACACGAAGCTCTGAATCGCGCACCAGTGAAGGCTCTACGAACAGTTCGTTCCTTTCTCGGTTCGAGAACAACGCGTCGCGGCAAGATGCAGTTCATGCATCTCTCGCCTTCTGATGCGTATTCGATATGAACCCCCTCTGTAATTGGAGGCAAAAAACCCTCAGTTTGCAGCCCTTCGGTCAGACAAAAAGCAAGGAGAGGGGGGGGGAGAAGCTTGACAGGAAAGCGGGACGAGCCGCTGCAGCTGCTGCGTCTCATTTTCCAGCGTTACATCGGTCGCCAGGCGCGGAGCTGGATCCGAGATCAAGAAGTTCAGGTGGGCTTTACCAGCCGTAATCCTGTGGTTTGGGAAAGCGAGATGTCATCCCTCTTGCTCTTCAAAAGTCAGAGCTGACGTGCCCTTTTCGCATTACGAAGTATTCCCGTGGACTCGGAAGCAGGCGAGACAGGGAGTGGGCCGAACACGATGGCAGCCTTTCCAACCTTCCAGGAGGAATACTACGTACACACAGGAATCAATATTGCACCCTTTTCCAGATCTGTATATCTCATCACACCCACACCACCATCTACCGGGCACCACTTCCGGCTGCTCAGCCACAGCTGCCACACCTCCTTCCAAAACAAACAATCATGAGTGAGTTGCTGACATGAGACATTTCACATGCGCGCCTTGATTTCTAGAAACCATTGCCTGGAAGTCAGATCATTTGATCCGTAAGACACAAACGTCTGATTTCCACTGAAGGTTGCAAAACACCAAGAAAGCATTCCTATCGTATTCCTAAACAAAGTCTCTATCAGCGATGCCAACGCAAGACCCCTCCCCCTCTCCTCTTCCGCAACCTCCCGCACCCCAACGTTTCTTGCAAATAGCCTCAACCCCCTACGATGGTACAGCTGGTATGTTTTGGCCCCTGTCGACAGGGGGGGTGCAACTTCAACACCACGTAACTCTTGTAGTTTTGGACGAAAAAAAATTATAAAAACAGGTATATGCTCCTTAAGACTAGGTAAATATAAGAATACATGTTTCCCAGAAATTTTGGATTGTTGTGGTGGCATTGCTAGGAAGAGCTGCGACCCCTGCAAAAAACAGGGACCAAAACATACCAGCTGTACCATCGTAGGACCCTAGGAATCCCATTATCGCCAATCCCATCCTCATCAGACGAATGCTAATTCATTTCCAAAACCCAACAGTCGCACAGGAAAAAAAAACAAGGCAGGACCCCAGCACGGCAATCTAAGTACCCCTCACCCTCCGTTCAGAGACACCCGGCACTCTAGCTCGGATTTTTTCCGGACTCCCCCATAGTGAAACAGCACGCATTGAGCAATCGAAGCACACGAATGCAAGACGAAAACGCATGCTAAGCTTTTGTGATATATATTTTCGGTATAAAATCCCTGATGTTCGAATCCACACTTCCCGTGCTCTACCTCGACGGTACAGTAATTTATCCCAGCGAGAGCTCACAAAGTCGTCATTATCATCGAGATCGAATTTCCCACAAACAGCCCCGCGATACCCAGACTTCGAAAGGGAAGGAATGATAGCAGGAGATGCTTTGTTGTTTGGTTAATGTACAGTACAGATATGGAGGACCTATCGCCGTAGCGCAGAGTCATCCCCAATTCCACATCTCTGTCAATCAATGCAAGCCCTCTTCATCTCTTCATACCTCCCTCCTATCTACCCCCTCCCCAAAAGCCCGGCTCGTATCAAACAAAACATCTGATTCCAAGACCTCTTCGCCAACCTAATTTTAAGATGCAAGCCCCTTAATAAACGCCCACGAAAAATCCCCAATCCATTCCAACTCGCATCCCAAACTGCGCTCTTTCTCCTGTCATCTACCCCGCGTCGAGCTCGATTCCTGAAAATGTGAGTGAACCAGCCGTGCCGGAACAACTCAGCTCCCTCTCCCCTTACCTCCCCCTCCACCAATCCCCATCCAAGCTTCTCGCGTCGCACTCCCCTTCCCCATGAAATCCTCATAAAACGCCTCCTCATCTCCCTCCCGTCCCAAACACCCCCCTCGCTGATTCGTCCCCCGCAAATCCATCCTCCCGATCACCTGCAGGGGGCTTGGCAACCCCGGATTGCAAAAAATGCCCTTCCTTCTGTTCCATCTTTCCGCGAAGGGGTGGGTTTCGAGGGGAAAGAAGGGGTTGGCGACGGCTTAACGAAGCGAAGCGGCCAGCGGAGAAGCGGCGGCATCTCCCCGCATGAACCCGAAAAGAAAAAGAGGTCACCGGGGACGGGGTCAGCCAATACTATGGTACTGTTCTCCTCCCCTTGCTTTCCCAACACGGGTGGTGGTGTAACAGGAACACGCAAGGGTCACTTCAGATAGGGTTAGCCAAGGACTCCCGCTCTACTTTCCCATACTTGCCGTCCACCATCGCCAGCCCCTTTCTTGCACCAGAAGTATTGGCTGACCCTAGCGATCCCGGATAGCCCGATGCAGCGCCGCCGTCTGTTCCTGTTTTCCTTCCCCGTCCGCCCGCCCGCCGGCCAACTCGGCCTTCCCTAACCCTACTGTAGCAAGAAAGCGGCGGAACTCACCAATGCAACGCCCGCATGCGCGGGAAAGGTGGAAAGTATTGGCTGACCCTATCCCCCATGACCCTTTGCATGCTTTCGTCGCAACACCGCACCGCTCTGGGAATGGATTCTGGAGCCAGGACGGGACGGTCAGGGCAATGGCAGCTAGGGTCAGCCAATACTTCGGGGCCAGAGAAGAGGGGTTACCGCGTGCAAGGGATCGAACTCCTCTTTCCGTGCTGAAACTGTTCGGAAGGTGCCGCGCTGTCCGATTTCGCACCCTCAACCTCACCGGTGACCGCGTCTTTGGAAATCTCAGGTTGACTGTGCGGCGGACGTGAGTCTTTGGACGAGGCTGAGGCGGTGAGCGCGATTGAGACCCCAGATGTTTGAGATTACTTCGGCTTCATCCGGGCTGAGGCTGGGCTGGGCGAAGGCTGAGGTCTAGAAGACTAGAACCAGTTCGTATTACCGGATCGGCTGGCTTGGCGTTTCGGGCCAAGACTTGACTTCAATTCCTCTTCCACTCCTCATGCAGTTCGTGTACCATACACCACAAAGACAACAAGCCCAAAGAATCTCTTCTCCACCACGTCTCTTTCAGCCTTCGAGCGAGAAGGCGAAGGAGGCGCTGTCCTCCATCCGGCTATCTTTTTGGAGACGAGTTTGAGTCAAACCGAGACCCCCAGCCCTCCCCTCCTCCCTTCCTTTCCTCTCCTGAGCTAGCATACGATTGTACATCCACCCTCGACAGTGAAACCTCCTCAGCAATCCCGTCCAGAATCTCAATACAGTACCCTTCTCGACCTACGCACCTTTGCGAACTCGACGTTCAATACACCCAATGTCAAACCCCTTCAAACCAAAGAGACAAAGAGAAGACGCCCACTTACCTCAAGCCTCAAGCCCAAGAAGTGGAATTTCTCCCTCGGAGTAGAAGACTAGGAAGCCCAACCTCCAAGTTTCAAGTTAAACCTAAGTCGAAACCAGAAATCAGAATATGCCAAGAAGAGAGATGACTTTTATTTGAAAAGGAGAAGAACGGGAAGGGAAGCACCTCCCGTCTCGCCATCTCATGCTGGAAAGTCGAGGGGCAAGGTAAGTCCGAGGCAGGCAACGAGAAAGCTACACACCCACCTATCGAGAATAGAAGGGGTTTCGATCTCCTAATCTTCCTTAACTAACTAACGAATGCAGTGTCGCTGATGATGCACTTGCTTCAGGTGTAGAGACGATGCCGTTTGTTAAGTGCCAAGTAGTGTTGCAGAGTAGGCGAACCTCCCAATAGTCGAAGGAAGCTATAATCACTTACCTACATCCCGAATGGCACCGCAATTTTTCTTCAATTCTTCGTGCATCATTTCTTGATTGCGCGCGGAGTCGATGCAACGAACGAGCTTCAGAATCCTTCCTCCAAACAGTTATTTGCACAAGACCCTGCTCGAAATAGCAAGTCCCGCAATCCATCCACAGACCCAAGCTTATATACAGCAAAAACAGAAAAGATTATCTCAAGATAGGATGATTCGAGATACAAGCCTAACCTACCTGGCCGAGCACAGGACAAGAAAGCGAGGATACGAAGCTGTCATTCAAGAGCCTCAGCGCACAGTCTGCAATCGAGCTTGACCTTGCACGACCTCAGAGCCGCAAAGCTCTTCCGGGGGGAGACTCGAAGCTTAGATGAGAGGGGGATGCTTTATCGGCGTGGTAGATCTTGGATAGCAGTAGGGAGATCCTGTTCTGCGAGTGTCAAGCAGAGTAGTCCAACTGCTCATCTTAAGCTCGCAACTCTGCTTGCTTCTTGAGAACAACCATCAAGATATACTTGCGAGTTAGAGAGAACTACCCCTTCCATTCTTCCTTCTCTCTCCAAAAGCACGTCACGTCGCAAAAGAACCTAATGTTTCTCAATGCATTTGCGTTGCTTCATTTCGTATTTGCGCGAGTCCAGCCCAAAGGCCATCTACAGCAGCAAATCTTCTTCCCTTCCCATGTTCATCCACCCATCCATGTATCGCAAATCCATCCCATCGTATTATCTCATTATCTCCACCAGCTCATCCACGCATGATGTCGCAAAGGCCGAGAAGAAAAAAAAAGAGCCGCGCAGAAAAAAAAGGTATTCACAAGAAGCAGAAAGCAAGGGTATCTGTGCACTAGCCACATTCCAGACCATTACATCCATTACATTCATCTCCTTTCCTGTCAATTCACGTTTTTTCTCCTTTTCCCTTTTCCCAGATCCGTGTACTGTTGTATGCATGCGAGAAATCGATCGAGAGAGGAAGTCTATGGCAGAGGAAATGTCGATCGCAACGAAGGAGGAAATCTAGATGATAAGGGCAGCGAGGCCGGCGGCGGCTGCCACGCCAGCGAACGCGGTTTGGCGGGCACCTCCAGCGGAAGAGGAAGAAGTGCCGCCAGTGGCGGTTGCAGCGTGGGATGCCTGGCGATGGTTAGTCAAGTGTTCGAGGGAGAATTGGCCAAAGAGGAAACTTACAGCGGAGCCAGCACTTGAAGCCTTAGAGGCGAGGCTGGATGCTACAGAATTGGCGCTGGAGATCGCACCGCTGGCGGAGGAACCAAGGGAAGATGCACCAGAGGCTGCGGAAGCGGCTGCACCGGAAAGCTGTTGATGGTTAGTTGAGTTCTCCCTTCTCCCCCGGATGCAAATTGACTTACAGAGGAAGCAACACCGCTGGCAGAAGATCCAGCACCACCACCGAAGATGGTAGTCGAGCCAACAGTGGTAGTGAAGGTCGAGCCACCGGAAGTCTCAACGGAGATAATGGCAGAGGTGGTGATGGCCGAGGGAGATCCACCAGCACCAGCCTATATTCCCAGTCAGCCAAACTCCAATCCTTGTTCCAGATTTGAATATCTTACTTCTCCAGTACCAGTGGTAGTCGTGGTGACGGTGCCAGTAGCAGAAACACCTGCGCCCGGAAGAAAGCAAGGTCAGTCTTTGTCTGCATATGACACAATCAATTGCACTTACCACCGGTAGCAGTTCCAGTAGCGGCCATAGCAGTAGCAGCTGAAAGCGAGTTAGCATCGTCGCCCTACTTCACAAGTTCATGTCCGGCCTGCTTACAAGAGCAGAAGCTGCTTCCATAGGCAATGACGGTGGAGGCAACCTCAGGACCGCAAACAGCGTTGGAGCAGTCGCGGATACCATAGCCAAAGTTGACGTTCTTACAGAGGCAGACGTCGTCATTGGCAGCGCAGCCAAGTTCCGCAAACTTTCCGAGCATATTCGTGACGCAGGTGTTCTGGAGGAGAGTCAGCCACTGAGATCCTTAACCGGGCGTTGCGCGCTCAGTTGATGCCATTGGAGACCAGGAGAACTCGCCCCGAGAGGTAGGAAGAGTCGCAGAGGAGGGAAGGGCTTGGTCGAGATGGATGTCAACTTACACCACAAGCTGGGAGGGTCTGAGCCGAAACCGACAAGGCGAATGCGCCAACGGTCATCAGAATTGCGGACTTCATCTCGACAGGTTTTCGCACGAAGTGATCTTGCAGGAGCTTCTTGGTGTTTTTGTGAGTGCAGGAAGTCTCGAGATCGTGGTGTGCGTTTGTGGAGGGGAAAGCGAAGAGGAACGCGAAGGTGGAAGGAGGTTGAGGTAGGTAGGTGGTACTTTGTGGTAGGAAGCGAGATCGTTCGAGCTTAAAGTCAGGACGGGCGGGCGGCCTTGCTTTTTGACTACCAGCAGCACAAAGTGACGATACTCCAATTCACTCTAGATCAACAACATGATTAGCTGCACAGCTGGGCCAACTCAAATACAACCAAATAGCCTCCTGGCCCAGCACCGAACAGGCATGGTCTGGCACGCATCCGGGTCAGACATGTCACGGCAAGGCCGCAAAGGGCAGGCTACGTGTGTGCACCGCTTGTGCTGCCATGTCTGGCTGAAAATTGCAGGCCGGCAAGCTGCCAAACTGCAGAGTCGCGAAGCTTGGCCAACGCAAAGCTTGGAAAGGGGTCTCACTTCCAGGAGAGCTCGGCGGGGTGTCTGTTCTCCATGCAGCTTAGAGACATCTTGGCCCGCTGCGGGCAGCTTGCAGGGACGTCGATGCCCAGCCACATCTCGGGAGCTGGCAACAGCTGCAGAATGGCCGAGGCGAGGAGCAAGGGCTGGGAAGCTCAGCACCTTGATTTTGCAGCAAGCTTCCAGATGATCCAAGCAGAAGAGATTGCCTTCTGCAACCCCAGATTCCGCATCTCCACGCTCTATTCCTGTCACACAAAAGACACACAATGCCATTGTCCCTGAAAACAAAAGGCCGGTCCCCAGCAGTTGGCTCATCATATCATGTCGACCAACAACACCACAAGCAAAAGCAAGTTGAGGCATCAAGTTCGCCTCTGCACCCCTGTCCCTGTGACGATCTAGTTCCTGATTTCGCTGGCGAAGCGTGAGACATGCTCCCATTTCATTGGCTACAGAAGCCACTCTGCATGTCTCCCAAGCAAACATTTCCCATGATGAGTTTTCTGGTTGCAGGTGGGGACGGCACTCTCATGATTTTACCAGCCTCTCGACTGCCTGTCCAATGATTGAGGGGAAGCTTGGGCCTGAATGTTCGAATGTTCCTTGGTTGGAGACGTCACCTCAGCGACGAAGGGTCTGTTGCTGCAATGCAACGATGTTGGCCAGCTTGAGAGGGGTTGCAGATGCATGGCTAGATCACTCCACTGTTTCTCTCCTCACCTCTCCACTGGGCCAGCGCATTGAGTTTCCCGGTGCAGACTCCTCCCAACTATTCCTCGATTATGAGTCCTTTATTCCCGAAAATCATCGAATATGAACTAATTGTTCGGTGGGGTGGTCAAAATATAAAATTAAGGGGAAACCCTCCTCTTCCCCACATCGACAAACAGAGGCAATCTGCTATCAATGATGTCACACTCCCCCCATCCCATCCCTGTACACATCGTCTCGTCCCATTTCATGCTCCTCTCCCCTCGTCCAACCAGCCCACCCAACAAAGGCACAATCACCATGTTTCCAGACAATGATGACCGCCCGAACCATACGGGAGAACTCCCACCTTCCTTGATCGTCAAGGTTGCCTCTCAGATGAGCGAACAGAGTTACATACATCGAACCGACGGCACCTCTCCCAGCCAACGGACTCGCTGGACAGGGATGCTGAGACATTGTGGCTGAACAGATCTGAGATCTAGGCTCCGGCCTCAGCAGGACAGGGATGTGAGCCACATCGTCACTCGACTTCCTCCGCACGAGTGTGGCTGTGACGTCTCCCCATCTCGTCTTCCACTCTCCAAACTCCATGATGAAATCAGATCGAACAAAATGCTTAATTGTGCTTACGAGTTGATATGTGGCGGGTCTTGGGTAGGGAGCAGATGTCGAGTAACACGGCCGCAGATGATGCAGCTTCCCGGTGAAAATCTCGGACGTAAATCGGACTTCCGTGTGGAGAAACACTTGTGCGCTGTCACGGCACGTTACTCCTTACTCGGATCTTCAGATCTGCCTCGCGGTTTCTCGTGACTGTGACCACGAATAATCTCTTTGTTCTTCGTAAATGAGTTTCAAGACCGAGCACCGATGAAGATCAACCGTCATCCTTTAACCATATTCCTGCAAAACGGAGAAGAGAAATCGAACAGATTCTCAAAGCTGCTCCTGCTGTTTAAGTTGAGCGACTTGATTGATCTCCATTCACCGCTCCAAGCCACACTACACTCACGATCATCAACTTCCATATGTCCGCCCGGTTGAAGGAAATCTAGGGTTCTGATTCGGCCTCGGTGACATAAAGATCTCCCATCTAAACGCGAGTCAGTCAGTCCTTTCCAACCTCTGTCTCACATCTCCACGGCGCACCCCACCAACCAACCTCTTGTCTTCTCGTCTCGTCTCCCCGAGCACATCCACAACGCTGCAGCCTCATCACGTTTTCCCTCCACCTTGCCGCCCAACCTCCATGAGCCGCATCTGCTTTGCAACCCTCATCACCTCCTCTCCCTCTGCATCATATGACTCCCCCGCTGGTAATCTTTGCAGTGGTTTAAAAAGTCTACCTGCCCCGCTGCCAACACAAGCTTAACCCCATTAGCCTCACCGCCAAACAATAGCTCCCTTGCTCCACAGACATCACAGTGCAGCGGGATCGTCCCGAGCTAATACCTGCACGCCGTCACTGCAAATCATCGATGGTATCACGAAACTACTCCATTTCACCGTTCCTCGTTGTTTTACTGTCACATCAACGTGCTTCGCCTGCTGCAGGTAAGGCCCAAGCCATGCAATGCTGTACGTATTACACCGAAGATCCAAGTACAGGAAAAGGGTGTCTATCCATTTATTCAACATAACATACAATAAGTACTTCCTTTCGGTCTTTCTTTCGTCCAAGCATCAATGCAAGAAAGCATATTATGAATCCATCAATCCATCCTGAATCCCACAATGCAAAACACGATACAAAACAAGGCGCTATAATCAAACAGTAAGGAAGGAAATGAAAAGCGTGAGCCATGCAACCGTGTATCCTTCATCAAACTCTCGTCTATCCGCTGCACATCATACACTCCTCTCTATTATCGATGCTGCCTATGAAATTGTCAGTCCTTGATCTTGAAGGAAGGTAGTGATGAAGCCTACATTGCAATACAGCCTCAGCATAGATATCGTTTTCTCGCTCGTCACTCTCTTTCTTACTGTCTTCATCCTGCTTCTTGTTCTCCAGAGCTGGCTCAGGGAGGTTGACCTTGGACAGAATTGCGGTTGGCTCAGTGGCCAGAGACTTGGGGCTGTCTCCCTCAGACACATCAGCCTTGAAGACAGGTGCCGTCACGACTGCTGCAGCATCGAACTTCTTGTTCTCAGACGTCAGAGGTGGGGTTGCCGTCGGCGTCGGGATCCCGTTTGGGGTACCGCTCGAAGCGTTTGATCTCTTGGCATACATTGGCTGAGGACCAGGTGATTGAGTGATGTATCCGGTGGAAGGTCTTTTCTTGGCTGGTCGCTCACGAGCAACGTTGGTGTCTGCGACAAGAAGAGCTTCTTGATCAACGGTGAACTGGATAGGAGCTGAAGCAGCCATGGTACGGAGATAGTACATGCCAGTCTTCAGACCAAGCTTCCAGCCTGCAAAGTGCATGCTGGTGATCTTGCCCATTGTGGGGTCCTTCATGTGAATGTTCATCGATTGTGACTGATCGATATATGCACCACGATCGGCAGCCATCTGAACAATGGTACGTTGTGAGATTTCCCAGACAGTCTTGTACAGAGCCTTGATGTCTGCTGGAATGTTAGGGATGTTCTGGATTGAACCACCATCAGCGATGATTCGGTTCTTCATGTTGTCGGACCAGAGGCCCATGTCAACAAGATCCTTCAAGAGCCATGGGTTGACGACTTGGAATTCTCCAGCGAGTACACGACGAGAGTAGATGTTGGAGGTATATGGTTCAAAGCACTCGTTGAAGCCGAGAATCTGAGAAGTGCTGGCTGTTGGCATAGGAGCAACCAAAAGAGAGTTGCGGATCCCGTGTTGCTTGATTTGTTGCTTCAAGCTATCCCAATCCCAAAGATCAGTTGGTGTTACGCCCCACATGTCATACTGAAGCTCACCCTTGGATGCTGGGGAGCCTTCATATGTCTCATAGGGACCGTGGATCTTGGCCAGCTCAACGGAAGCAGTGAGAGCAGCGTGGTAGATTGTTTCGAAGATCTGAATGTTGAGGTGCTTGGCCTCGGGTGAGTCAAAAGGCAGACGGAGAGCCAAGAAAGCATCGGCAAGACCTTGAACACCAACAGCGATGGGTCTGTGACGGAAATTGCTCTTTCGTGCCTCGGGAACAGGGTAGTAGTTGACATCAATGATCTTGTTCAGGTTCTTGACGACAACTTGGCAGACATCGTGGAGTCTCTGGAAATCGTAAGTGCCATCGTTCGTGTTGACGTAGGTTGGGAGGGCGAGGGAGGCCAAGTTGCACACGGCAACCTCGTCTGGTGCGCAGTACTCGACGATCTCGGTGCATAAGTTGGAGCTTCGGATTGTACCGAGGTTCTTCTGGTTGCTCTTTCTGTTGCAGGCATCCTTGTAGAGCATGAACGGGTTTCCAGTCTCAGTTTGAGCCTCGAGGATGGAGTACCAAAGCTTTTGGGCCTTGATGGTCTTGCGACCTTTGCCTTCACGCTCATATTTCTCGTAGAGCGCCTCGAACTCATCGCCATAGACATCAGCCAAGCCAGGGCACTCGTTGGGGCACATCAGAGTCCACTCAGCATTCTTCTCAACACGCTTCATGAAGAGATCAGGGATCCAGAGAGCATAGAAGAGATCACGAGCGCGAACTTCTTCCTTGCCGTGGTTCTTTCGCAGATCAAGGTATTCGAAAACATCCGCATGCCATGGCTCAAGATAGATAGCAAAAGCACCAGGACGCTTGTTTCCTCCTTGATCAACATATCTCGCAGTGTTGTTGAAGACTCGGAGCATGGGAACAATGCCGTTGGAGTTTCCATTTGTGCCAGCAATGTAAGCTCCAGTAGCTCGGATTCTGTGGATGTTGAGACCAATGCCGCCCGCATTCTTTGAGATCATGGCACATGTCTTCAACGTATCGTAGATACCGTCGATGCTATCCTCCTTCATGTCAATCAAGAAGCAGGAAGACAATTGCGCCTGTGGTGTACCAGCAGCAAAGAGTGTTGGGGAGGCATGGGTGAAGCATTTGCTCGACATCAAGTTATATGTCTCAATTGCAGCCTCAATATCCTCGCCGTGAATGCCAACCGCTACCCGCATGATCATGTGTTGTGGACGCTCGACAATCTTGCCATCAAGGCGGAGGAGATATGATCGCTCGAGTGTCTTGAATCCGAAGTATTGGTAGTTGAAATCGCGGTCGTAGACGATAGCAGAGTTGAGCTCGGCTTCGTGCTTCATCACGCATTCGTACATCTTCTGGCTGATCATGGGCGAGAGCTTGCCATTTCGGGGGTTGGTGTAGTGGTACAGGTCAGAGACAACTGTGGAGAATTGCTTCTTTGTCTGCTTGTGGAGGTTGGAAACTGCAATTCGCGCAGCAAGTATGGCGTAGTCGGGGTGGGTAACAGTCATGTATGCGGCAGTCTCGGCGGCCTTGGAGAAGAAGTCAGCAGTTGTTCAAAACCCGTTATTGCATTCGCAAATCTGAGACCCACAAGATTGTCAAGCTCGATGGTTGTGACACCTTGGTAGACACCTGAGATGACCTTTTGTGTGATTGCTGCTGCATCGACATGTTCGGCATCGAGGCCATAACACAGACGCGAGACTCGAGCAGTGATCTTGTCAAATTGAACGCGCTCCTTACGTCCATCTGTGAGTTGATAAGCTGATGTTCTTATCGACTGGAGGCGAGATACACACCGCGTTTGTACACGTACATGATGGCGACGTGACCTGGTGGTCCTGCTGGAGATGGCGGGGTTGATGGCGAAGAGGGAGGATGGTGTTGCTTGTGCAGATCAGTGCAGATGTTGCAACGGGATGAATTGCAACTCGTCACACTGATTGACTCGAGAGGGAAATCTGGAGTTGTTCAGGGTGGTGGAGGAAGGTTGATGAGGGGAGGAGGAGTGTTTTGAAAGGAAGAGTACTTTACGCGACTTCGGGAAAGCGCGTTCTCGGTTCAAGTTTTGTCAGCTAGCGCGTGAACACAACAACGCGAAACCACTTTCAGCGTGGGCTGGCTGTATCCCTGGACAACAGCTTGACTGGCTGACAGACAGTGGATGCAAAATTGCAGATCTGCAATTCAGATTGAGCCACCAAATCGTGACCTTATGTCCGAACAATGTCGCAAAGTGGAACATCGTCACGAAGCTGGTGAAGTGGGCTCCAGGGTTTTGTCAGGGATTCGCCACATCACGTGGGGGAAATCGAAGAAAGGGGCAACCCAAAAAGTCATCTTGCATGAAATATCCAATCAATTCTCTATAACGGGGTATTATTTCGCTCTAAGTGCCAATTCCTTCTTCTGTCTCAGGATAACCAACTTCTCCATCTGTACAACCCACCTCTTAGCAAATTCCTCTTCCGTAAATCTCTTCGCTGATTCTCGAGCTCGGAGACGCATTGCAAGCTTGTCTTCAAGAGCGAGTGCTTGTTCGAAGGCTTTAGCAAACTCGGAAGCCGTTGTTGCGTGGAAGCCTGGTATTGTTAGCAGTGGTTCTTAGTTAGGAGGAGGGGGAAGCTCACCTGTAGGTTCATCATTAATCTTGGTGACGATGTCAATCTTCGGTCCTCCAGAGTCATGCACGACAGAGATCAACCCTGCTGCCTGGTACTCCACAACCCCGATACCGAAATGCTCATTCCACATCCCATTAACACCAATGCTTGCTTTCCTCAACCACTCCAAGATCTCCGGCCACGAAGCATCAAGGTGGAACTCCACGCTCTCCTTGATCTGAAGCTCATTTGCCAGGAGCCTGAGCTCGTACACCCTCTTCGAGTCCCCGTCATCTCTCACGCTTCCTATCAATACCAACTTTGCGCCTCTTGTTGCTGGTGACCTTGTAGCCATGAACTCGGCAAATGCGGTAAGGATGAGTTGGTGGTTCTTCTCCGGTCGAAATTGTGCAATGTAAAGCAGAATGTTCTCCCTCTTCTTCTCACTAGCTGCTGAGACCTCAATCTCCCTCTCCAACTCTTCGACGGCCACAGGGGGATATACGACAACTGGCTTGTTCGCCTGTAGCTCCTTTCGCCACCCATCCCATAATGACTTAATGTGCCCAAGCGTCCATGTTGAGTTCGTCATAACAACATCTATGGAGCCACCAACCGCAGAATACATGGATGCAAAGAGCTCCCAGTATAATTTCTTGAACCCCCCGACTGCACCGGCGCCCTTTCCCGCATTCACCCCTTGCGTTCCTGTGGCAGAGTTCGGATCGAGGGAACCAAGCATGTCGGTTGAGATCGTAGGATAGTGAACATAGGCGCCAGTTGGAACATCTCGGAAGAGGATCTTTGAGAACCCAAGCGCGAAAGCATAACCCATCGTATCAACGAATATGTCCGGTGTGAGGAGGGAGAAAGCGTCCCAAGCCATGACAATAGAGCCTAGGGATTGCCCTAGAAGTGTGAAGTGTGGCCATGAAGATGCGAGGACCCAGGATCGAGTGGTGAGATAGAGGAAGGTGACAGTCGGGGGATGGAGGTGGATATTGAAGCGGTTCTGTTTGGCAGTGTTATTAACCATTGTCAAGAGTCCAAACGGATACAGTGAAAGCGTTACCTTTACGCGAGCTAGGATCGCAGCTTTGTCGACATCGTGATCGCCGGTATAGACAATACACTTTGCTTTCGGCCAGCGCTTTTGTGTTGCTCTGATCGCCGCCCAGAGGACTCGTTCACCGCCGCCTCCTGCATTACTACTTTTATCAGCAGCACATCCGCAGACTCCACCAAAGTAGACCTACCAGAAAGGATGTAAGAATCCCACAATACCATCCCATTCCTCCTCCCCTTTCTCTCCATTCTTCGCAGTCCCAACAGCATAGGCGTCCACGCTCTCCCAGTCATCACTATTGCGCCGATCCTTCCCGTCTTCTTCCCATTCTGCCTGATCCTTCTCTGTCAACTCCAGTACCTGTGCTTTCCTTCCGGCCGTCTTCTTCCTCAAATATAACCCCGCGGTGCGTCCAAGCCAGAAGATAAGTTTTGGGCCCAGTAGGACAACAGCCAGCGGTAGGCAGCCGAGGGTGAGTGCAATGATGATGGTCCTTGGAAGATTGTTCATGCCAAAGGTCCAGACCTGGCTCCCATCAGGGGCCAAACATACTTGTTCCGGCATATCTTCTGGCAGTTTAGAGTTGATGATTCTGGCAGAAACGCGAGGCGGAAAGTTGGCTATCTTGGCATCTGCGGGAGGTTCGCGACGGCCCTTCCAGAACGCGATCTAGCGTCGGTGTTTTTGGCACCAAATGCCGATGTCAATATCAAATAGAACATCAGCCGTCTTCTGACTTTTCTTCTACAGCACGAGCTTCACCAATGTGACTGCGACCAGGTCTACACTGACATTTGAATTGATGCAGCTCATCTGACTAAAGGGATCTCTACTCAATTGGGGTTCTACGAGCATGGCGCTCCTCGTCCGCTCGTGTCCTCTCCAGTTCATCTGCGCAACACCGAAGCTCTCGAAGCTCTTCCTCCAGCTCCCTCCCAGCTGCCGCTCCTTCCACGCCTCTCCGAGAACCCAATCCATCGTCCTCGTCGCCCACGATGCTCTTACGGGCTTGCATTCCCTCACTGGCCTCCCCTGGGCCTACACCATCCCGCTCTTTGCCCTCACCCTCCGCACTACGCTCATCCTTCCCCTCTCCATCTACCAGCGGCACGCCAACAGAAAACAAGCTTCTCTTGTCCCCATAGTGCAATCATGGCGCCACGCTCTACAACACGAAACAATGCGAGAAGTGGGTCATTTAGGACCTGTCGTTGCACAAAATACACTCCTGCGCAAGCTACGAAGAAAACGAAACGAAATATACAGGCGGTGGGGATGTGGGTTGTGGAAAAACTACCTCGGGCTCGCGCAGGTGCCTGTGTTTCTCGTCACGATGGAAGCCCTTCGCGCCATGGCTGGTGCTCAGCAGGGCTGGTGGGGAATGATAACAGGTTCTCGGAATGTCGGTGCTGACACAGATGCATTGCTCACAGCGGATGGGTTTACTGGCACAGCCTTGATCCCGGTGGAGAGTTCATTTGCAACTGAAGGGGCTTTATGGTTTCCAAACCTCCTTCTCGCTGATCCACAACTTTTGCTGCCCTTCATGCTTTCCGGAGCTATACTCCTCAATCTTTTTGGCCACAAACCTGTCGCCCTGGGACCCTGGCAGACACGTTTTCGGAGGTCAATGGGCATTGTTGCTTTGGCGATTGGTCCTATTATGATACCTGTACCCAGTGCTTTGGTGCTTTACTGGGTCAGCTCGAGCATGCTGGCTTATGGGCAGTCGTTATTGTTGGAGAGACTGATGCCGATCAAAAAGCCTGTTAGGCCGTGCAAGCCGAAGAGACCCATGAAATCTGGATTGGGTCTACCGGAGGAGCGGAAGCTTTGAACGAGGCAGTGTACGATAAATGCAGAAAGGGTGATCATTTTAGATCATTTACGGTGACGATTCCGAACCATTGTGTATTTGAGTTGCAGCGGAGAACGTCTCCCTGACATGGACCAGGACCTTGCCTCTCTCTGGTTTTCCTCCCATGGAACGCTTTATTGAACCTTCGTAGTTTCACGGTCCTGAACTTTTGGACCCTTTCTCTGAGAAAAGGGGGTTGATCACGTGGCCACCCCTTAACCTTAGCCGAGGCAGGCTTGGCAAAAATACTTTTGGTATCGATAAGGTATCGGTACTAGATGGTATTAGTCAGGTATTACAAGGATCGATACATATTAATACTGAATCGATTCTTAGCCTTAAATTATCTCTTCCATTTATTATTTGATTTATATAATAATACATTTATATATAATTTCTTTATTTTCTAGTATTTCTATTAAAGGACTCACTTAATATTATTAATAAAAGTTAATAATATCTTAATTTTAAGATGGCCCTCGTATTCGGAGAATTAAGTATTGTATTCGTATCTCTTATCGGAACACTTATTATAAGCGAGCCTTACGAAAATCTCAAAAGCTATTTTTTGCTTAAAATAGCCGTATTGAGACGAGTTTTAGTCTAAACTATAAGATAAGTAGCTAAATAGAAAGCCTAAATTAAGTAGAATATTTGCGCTACCAAAAGTTTTCTTATAAGAGAAGTGGTTCTAAAGTTAATTGCAATTAAAGGGGGGAATTGGGTTCCGGGAATCGATACTTTATCGATAGTATCGATACCAGAAATTAGGTATTTCTGCCAAGCCTGAGCCGAGGACAGCGGCCCCACATCGTGGCAAGGCGCTCCCCGAATCAGTTCAAATTCCCAATGTGTATTTCCCCTCACCCAGAGGTTTGGAGTTTCAATCCACCGTGCACATGTCAAACAATGGTATTGGTAGCTGAACGTGATGACTCGTCATGCTCGCTTGCAGATAAGTTTGCAGAAACCTACTATCCCCCCCCTTGAATACTTACAGTGGGTCCTTTACGTAGTAACGCCACCCTGAAACCTCGTTTATAACCCCCAACTAGGAAATATCAGGTGCTCTCCAGTATCGCTATTGGCCATACACCCTTGAGTTGGTCAGTGCAGGAGTGGTGTTATCCCAGGACCCACTGTAAGTATTCAAGAGGGGGGGGATAGTAGTAAATGACTAAGGATATCCTAAGACGATGATCCCCTTTGTTCGTGATGCATGGCGTAAGTATATTCCCCAAACCTTTCTTCTGCAGTAGCGTCAATATGAGTGTTATAGGCCAATTGATTTCAGTATAACCAAGAGGTTCAAGTGGCTTTCTGAGGATGAGCTGGCGAATGGCACCTTGATCCGCCAGGCTTAGAGAGGAACTCGTGTGGGGGGAGGCATTGAGAGTCTTGCAAGCCTTGAAATTTTACACTGGAGCGGAGAATGTATAATCACCGTTGGCAATTTTGTCTCGAAAGCGGAATTGAATGAGTCATTCTGTCCGATAGGCACCTTTCAAGAAGCACAAGAACTAATACCACCTAAGGCCAGAGAAATAATTCAGAAGGGTGCTTTTGAAGTCAAACGCCACTGGGAAATAGTTTTCATCTCAGCTCACAGTCGCCAAGAGCCCTGAATACCTATCAACATCATACACTGGCCTTCCATATGGATGTTGGCTGGCATATATCTTATTGAAGATGCTTCGACCTGGCCGTTCTGCCAATCTGAATTAGATATATCTAGAGTCGTGGAGATCCTTCCTCCTGATATTACGATTCTTAGTCGGCTCTTACAGCTTAAACCAGAGGTTCATTTCAATGTCGGATCAAACTTTGCAAGCTGCAGTGGCCTAGATCAAAGGAAGGCGAGTATGGGCGATACAGTATCAAAGAATTCACGCCCATTACGTGAAGATCCCACCGACCAGACCTTTCCGGAAACTGATAGGATAATTCGATTAATGAACGTTTTCAGTAGGCATTGTGGAGCTACGGGAACAGACACGGCTGATCTTAAATTCATACAGTGACACGTTTATGAGACCAATGAACTTCCGGGAGAGTGTTAGAAACACTTCGAGGAAAGGGTAGAGTATATTTAGAAGAAATTGGACCAAACGCTAACACTACTGGAAGAGGAATAATCTGATGATATTATTGGTTTATCCTATGTGAAAACTGCACTTTGCGTCTGCTGAGCCTACGTAACAGTAGAACTTTACGGAAACCTCTATCACAGATTTAGCATTATCTACGACTAAAGAGAGGTTCCAAAGTGTCACGATAAGGTGATATTGCAGTGGTGGTAAAGAGCTTGAATTGAGCTGAAGGCTGCCTGCCAGGCTAAAAGCACTGGCTACAAGCTAAGTCACGTAACACAAAGTGTAACTTGATGTTATGGAAATACATTCTTGTGACAAATTACAAAAGTTAGATTTTTGAAAAGATCTCTTGTTTTTGAAGTAATTAGTGTGAGCACTAGATTGATGTAAGCGTGTAGATGCTTCTTGATATTAGGCTAATACTCATGTGTATCGTAGCCACCCATAAGGGTATGCTAATATCGTTATAATAATAATGCCTGCTAGCTTTCTCAGCCGAACATTGCCCCTGCATGTAAACGCTGTCTACAGGGATACTTCAGCTTTCATCAGCACTCCGAGATACTAAATGGGCTATCGAAAAAGATTTCATTGCTTTTCTCTGCAACTATTATTTTCGGGGCCATGGAGTCGCACTCGTGTATTAAATATAGTTATTATGCCCAAACTAGCCATCGTGCTAATTCTGGGAGTTCTAAAGCTTATCTCTACTAATACCAGGACCTTAATAGGCTAGGGGCACGGCATTACGCGCCTCCGGCGCGCGACGGCATGCGAAGTATATGCGATTACCTTGAGTACACGAGAGTGCCTTGATTCTGGAAGTTCTACGAAGACAACGGCATAAAGTATCGGGAATACAGGGCATTGGGAGACTTTCAGGCTCTCCAGCGTACAGATCAAGGTAGCAAACTCGCTATAAGGCCCTATATTTCCAGGCCCTTCCCCTAAAAGCACATTTACGCCTTTGACAAGGGGTACCACGCCTTTTCAGGGCTTCTTCCCTGTACTTACAAGGGAGCCTTCGCTAAAGGGGCCTATAATAGTTGCTTGTTTAGCGTCCGAGCGCTGTGGTTGCTCTACCAACAGCGCTATAACCCTAGAAGATCTACTTACCCCATGCGAATGTCTTATAGCGCCTCTTTACATAGATTTAGGGAGTACTACCTAGAGTTATAGGGGCTTATAGCGAGCTTCTGCCCTGAATTCACACCCTGTAGAGCGCTGAGGGTCAAAATGCCCTGTATTCCCGATACTTTATGCCGTTGTCTTCGTAAAGCTTATCCCTTACTAATACTGGGAACCTTAATAAGCTAGGGGCATATCATCACGCGCCTCCAGCACGCAATAGCGTGCAAAGCATATGCGAATACCTTGAGCGTATACGCGCATGTATTGAGGATATACTTTTTTTAAGTGATTACAAGGGGCAAGAGAGAAACGTGCTTCTTGCCTGCCTTTTGTGCGCGTGCCGGGGGCTAAAAAATAGCCGAAAAAGAAAGCCTTACTTTATAATAAAATTGCAAAAATTAGCTTGCTAAGTGCGGGGAAGGGGGGCTAGAAGAAAATCCAATTCTCAAATGCATAAGCACCCTCTCGGGGTAAACCATAGAACGGGTACTTATACGTCTAAAAAAGAGTCGAGATCAAAAATTACCGCTTTGGGCATACACCCATGTTTTAGGAATACTACCCGAGCAGAACAGGGGTGTTGCAGGGGTTAGCAGAGGCACACTGATTTTCTTTTCAATCATGAGGTGAATAGGAGGTGGTAAGCGAAGGAAACAAAAAAGGCATTATTGTCCAATCCACGCAACGCTACTTGCACATCGTTTCTACTTTGGTGCAAACACTCCTCCCTACTTCTACTCCTCCTTCTCCTCTATTATATACAGGATGTATTCTTCCAAACATTTAGACACGACTCTAAGAAATTTCAATCTTCTAATAAATTATAATGTTGCCCGCATCTTCTTGTTCACTTCAAGCCGAGGCCTGTTTTTTGCCACTTTTCAACACCCCCACTTCTCTTTCTCTAACCTGCGTCATCCGTCAGCCATAAATTTACACTCATTTCTAGAACAGCTAGATTTTTCATTACTATATATCCTCAAGCAGAATCTATTCAGATGCCAAGACTAGTTTTTGACCGCAATCAATCCACACGATAATTGTAGTCTCGACCTGCAGCACCCGTCCACACCCCACTCTTCAAAATGCCTCTGATTTCAAATGCCATCTATCCATCAACGGATTCAGAATTCATCTCCTTCCCCAGTCGAAGAAGTGTCATCCACAGCACGGAGGGCATGGTAGCATGCACGCAACCTCTCGCCGCAAAATGCGGTCTCATGATTCTGCAACAGGGAGGAAATGCTGCAGTACGTACCCTACCCGGTCACTCATTGTACAAAGCTAATCACAGCTTTGAGTAGGATGCAGCCGTTGCAGTTGGTATGTTCGAGAAATGCCCACTTCTACTTATAAATGCCTGATTGAGTTAATTTAGCTGCTGGTCTCAACATGGCCGAACCTTGCTCCACAGGTATCGGTGGCGGCATGTTCGCTCTCTACTTTGACGCCAAGACGAAGAATGTATCTGCACTGAATGGCTCTGGTCGAGCGGGTAAAATGTGCACTTTAGAGACGATACGGAAGGATCTTGGGTTGAGTGAGGGAGAACGAGGGAAACCGATACCATTTGATAACGTCCACGCTGTTACTGTGCCTGGTGCGGCTGCGGGGTGGGTAGATACCGTCGAGAAATTTGGCAGTGGGAAGTTGAATATGAAAGATATTCTGAGCCCTGCTATCGAGATGGGTGAGAAGGGGTTCCCGGTTTCTGAACTGACTGCCAAATCTGTGAGTGTTCGGCCACTGCCTCTGGCCATCAAATATTACCTAAGAGTTGAATCTCTAACTCATAAGCAGTGGAGGAGAGCAGAAGCATCTATCCGGAGGGCATCACCTAATTTTGCGGAGATGTTGAAGAAGGATAAGGACGCGTTAGATGGATGTCGGGCCCCCGGACCTGGCGAGATTATGAAGAACCCGACTCTTGCACATACTTTCAGACGACTTGCCGAGAAAGGAAAGAAGGGCTTTTACACGGGCGAGGTTGCAGAAGAGATTGTGAGAGTGTGTAAAGAGAGAGGTGGTCGCCTTGAACTTGGTGATTTGCAAAATCATATGGAGCTCGGGACGGAGCTGGTAAACGTCCCATTTCCTCATCTTCGCCTCTCATTTTCTTTAACTTAAAATGAGAAGTTAAGCACACTGACACGGAAGTGATTTCCCTTAGGTTGATCCCATATCTCTCAAATTCAAGGGACAGGGTATTGGGAAGACTCAAAGTCAACTTATGAATGGTTCTCTGGAATCCGGTACTGAGAATGGTGGAGTAGAAATTTGGGAACACCCGCCTAATGGCCAAGGTATCGTTGCTTTGATTGCACTTGGGATCCTGGAGGAATTGGAGAAGACGGGGAAAATCCCACTGTTCAAAGATAAGGATCATAATACAACCCCTCACTTGCACGCGGTGATTGAGGCGCTCCGTATCGCGTTCGCGGATGGTGCCTGGTGGGTGACAGACACAAGTAAGTCCCCCTTCTCTCACCTAAAGCAATAAAGCTGATACCGAAATCTTGCAGACCTTGTGGACGTCCCAACAAAAGGACTCATCTCGCAGTCCTATCTCGAAAAACGAGCCAAGCTCTTCAATCCTCAGCGTGCATCAGAGCTCACGGATCACGGCAGTCCAGCACATAACCATTCCGACACGGTATATTTCGCAGTCACCGACAAGTACGGCAATGCAATCTCCTTCATCAACTCGAACTACACCGGATTCGGAAGCGCTATCATCCCCAAAGGCTGTGGCTTCACCCTACAGAACCGAGGTGCAAATTTCAGCCTAGAGAAAGAGCATCCTAACGTCCTTGCCCCCGGCAAACGCCCATATCACACTATCATTCCGGCAATGATCACGAATATCCATGACGGAAGTCTGCACTCTGTTTATGGCGTTATGGGAGGTTTCATGCAGCCGCAAGGCCGTGTTCAGGTTTTGCTGAACATGTTAGCGTTCAAGCTTAATCCGCAGCAGGCCCTAGACGCCCCGAGGATCTGCATCGGAGCTGGGATGCCGGATGAGGGGAAAGTATTAGATATGACTGTTCATCTTGAGGAGGGGATCAGCGAGGAGGTGAGGGACCAGCTGAGGGGTATGGGGCATAAGGCAGAGATTATGAAGGGCTATGGGAGGAGTTTGTTTGGGAGGGGTCAGTTAATTCGATCGCATTTTGATGATGGGATGCAGGTGTTTAGTGGGGGCTCTGATCTTCGTGGAGATGGAGCGGCTTTTCCAGCATGAGTCCAACCTTTGGCACATCACCCCAATCAGAAACCCAAAATGATGCCCCACTGAAGAAGATCAAATCCATTCCATGAAGCACTCCTCTCTACAATATCCCTCTATCTAGAACTAACAAATGCACACTTGCTGTTGAAGCGAGACACAGATTATCGCCGATTTCCCCCACAAAAGCCGCCCACCTCGAGTCTTGGAACAACTTAACCCCTCCCCGCCAAAAGATCTCCAAACGACTACCATAATGCCCAAGCCAAAACAACCAAAAGTAACTGTGTAATTCTCGCCGGGATCCTTAGATAAAGTGGCGATCTAGGGTTTACTCTATCTGCCTTCCTTCTCTTCATCTCTATCTCGACCAATACAATCATCGAAATCAGAATAACTGCACCAAACGATTTCGTGCGAGGGAAGACCATTCCTAAGCCACCGATAACTTCGATGACTGCAGTGTTCCGATACTCAGCGGGGGAGAAGTCATTGCCACGGTATACGGCCCACCCAGCTTCCCAGTTTGTGAGGAGTTTTCTGAAGCCAGAGAAGGCGAGGAAGAGGCCGAGAGGGGTGACTGATGAGCTGCGCGTAATGGGTAACGGTTTATGCGTAAATAGAGGGGAACGAAGATGTAGAAGACATGCGATTTCAAGATCGCTCATGGGTAGAAAAATCCAGTATATTGTGTTGACTTAAGATGAGATTGGGGGGAATAATATTTGTATTCTGGGCGGAGACTTGAACGCCGACGTAGCTCGTCAATCACTTGATGCTCGGCGTTCAACCTTACTAAATAAGAAGACATTGACACATCGATTAGAAATCCCAGAATTTAGGGTGGAGAATCACTTGATCAGGCGCTTCTGCAAGCTCCAAGAAGGCTGCTCAAATAAGAAACAAGGGGAGAAAAAGAGTACGGGAGGAAAAGCAGATGGAGAAATTAATGTTTCGTTGGCTAGTGAATTGAAAGCCACAAATTGAATTGAAATTTGTCTACTCCGTTTTAAGCCCATTAACGCCTTGATCATTGATATGTTGTTTCTTGATCGCATCCTCTCCAGCAACAGTTGTGCGCTTCGCAGGTCTCGTCTTCTTCAATGGTGGCAGTAAACTCCTCGACGTCTGTCTCGCCTGTTGAGCCATCAACGCATCAATGACAACAAGCGCTGCCATAGCCTCCACAATGGGAACAGCTCTGGGGACAACACATGGGTCGTGTCTTCCCTTTGCCTCCAGAATACCATCTGATTCTCCATCATAGGTTGCAGTCTGCTGTGCCAGGCCGATTGTCGCAGGTGGCTTGAAGGCAACTCGGAAGTATATTGGAGCACCATTTGTGATTCCTCCTTGAATACCACCGGAATTGTTCGTTTTTGTCGTAAGTCTCGGTCTCAGGAGGCCATTTTTCGACGCGCCAGTCTCCAACGGCGGGAGTTCTGGCGCAAGGACGAAAGGATCATTGTGTATCGATCCAGGAACCTCACAACCACCAAATCCAGAGCCAACTTCAAACCCCTTCGAGGCAGGAATGCTGAGCATGGCATGAGCAAGCATAGCTTCCATCTTGTCGAAACAAGGCTCGCCCAATCCACTTGGAACATTTCTGATGACACAGGTCACTGTGCCACCAATACTGTCCTGCCTATCTCTGAAGCCTGCAATCAATTCCGCCATCTTCGCAGATGCAGTCGCATCTGGACATCGCACTGGAACAAACTCGTCGACTTTCTCGCGGGTAACGTCGCCGATCAAGGAGAGGAAAGCAGGGTTTGTCGAGGGTGTAGGATGAATTGCTGAAGGAGGGAACATGTGAAGACCCCCAACGGACGAGACGAAAGCCACAATATCAATGCCGTGTGCAAGCTTGAGGTACTTTTCTGCAATAGCACTCGCAGCCACCCGCCCAATTGTCTCCCTTGCACTGCTTCTTCCTCCGCCACTGCTCGCCTTCACACCGTATTTCTCCAAGTATGTCCAATCCGCATGACTCGGTCGAGGGTAGAGGTCCATCGTAGAATTGCCATAGTCGTGCGGTCTCTGATCCTTGTTGCGAACAATCATTGCGATTGGCGTGCCCAATGTGACTCCAAACTCTGTGCCCGACTGAATCTCCACCAAGTCCATTTCGTTGCGCGGCGTGGTAAGCGCACTCTGGCCAGGTCTTCGTCTTGTCATCTGCGGTTGGATATCATCCTCTGTGAGCTCCATTCCAGGAGGCACGCCGTCGACGATGCATCCTACAGACCGGCAATGTGACTCCCCATAGCTGTGACTCGTTAGCTCGTGTTCTGCGCTGCTGGGCAAGTCAATTGGGGCAGGACATACGTGGTGACCCTAAAATACTCTCCGAAGGTCGACATCTTGCAATTGTGTGTTGTTGGAGGGAGGATTTGCGGTGAGAGAATTGTAGGACGATTTTTAGTTTTTCTTCAGCCTGATGTGTCGATTCCATGCCGAGCTCGGAGAATAGTTTTAGCGGGCGACAGGGGCCAAGGGCTTCAAATTCGGCAACGGCTCTTTTCCTAGTAACAGCACAACAAATTCTGTCCATGGCTCCCTCGAGAGGGCTGCGGCCCCTTCTGCGAACCCGCATACCAGCACTCAAACCGCACGCTCGACGTTATTCCGAATTTGTAGCTGCAGCAACAGATCCTTCCCAGAAAGCCCGAGTCTTTGTCTCCCAAAGCCAAGACCCATACCTCAACCTCTCAATTGAGCATTATCTGCTTCAGAGAACGCCCGGAGACTCCACAATCCTCTTTCTCTACACGAATAGTCCCTGTGTTGTGATTGGCAGAAATCAGAACCCATGGATTGAGGTCAATCTTGGAGTTCTTCGCAACGAAGAATTAGGAGTCAAACTCGTCCGACGCCGATCAGGAGGAGGGACAGTGTTCCACGATGAGGGGAATATGAACTACAGCGTTATATGCCCCCCGTCGGAATTCAATCGAGACAAGCATGCAGAGATGGTGGTCAGGGCCCTGAAGTCCTTGGGGACGGAGAAAGCCAGGGTCAACGAACGGCACGACATCGTCGTGGACAAAGAGGACAAGGAAGGAGCTCTGAAACCGTTTAAGGTATCTGGGTCAGCATACAAACTTACGAGACTGAGGTCTTTGCACCATGGAACATGTTTGCTTTCGAGCCCCAATCTTGAATCCATTTCGAAATACCTCCGAGCTCCTGCGAAGCCATTGATCAAAGCAAGAGGGGTGGACAGTGTGAGCTCGCCAATCGCGAACGTTGGTATTGACAACTTTAAGTTCCAAGAGGCTGTGGCATTCGAGTTCAGGTCCTTGTACGGCACCCTGAGTGAAGCGAGTGTGTGGAACAGGAGCATATTTTTCGTAGATGAAAAAGCAAAAGAAGTCCCAGAGATAGCCTATGGGCTGGAGGAACTCATGGTATGTTACCTTCGGCTAAAGGAGAGTTGGTTTGTCTAACGAGATTCAGTCGGAGGATTGGATATATTGCCAGACACCTCAGTTCAAGTTCTCTACCAAAAACATAACAGAGACAGACTCCGTACAATCCATACCGAGTTCCTGGCCACCCGCATTGCGAGGGGTAAGTTTTACATCTCTCCTCTTAATGCAGGGATACTGAGAACGAGACAGTGCAAGATAGAATTCACAGCCAAGCACGGAAAGTTCACAGAGGTATCAGTCGACTACAACGATAGGACAGCCAGCAGCGAGCAAATCGAGTTGCCACTTCTGAATAAATTGTCATTCCATTACAACGGGCTGGTCGAGCATGAGAAAATTGAGTCCAATCTCATGAGTAGAGAATTGCACAAGATCACCGACTGGGAACAGCTTTTACCTCCATTTCTCTTCACAGATTCAGACCGCAATGTGGCGGTGAGCCCTGGGAGGACGATGAACCAGCTGTTTGGAATGGGAAACTACGAACCGTCAGCATATGTCCGAGAATAAAATCAGGATCTCATCTTTGCTTTTCCGAACTTTCCAAATCATGGAACGTGCGATAATGATGCAAATACGGACACTTTTATTTAAACTGATGCGTTTTTCCAGCTACGTCATGGGCTATGAGGGAAGCACTAGATCGCAATGGGGGTTCACGGAGTTCAGGTCTTGCGGATAGTTTCAACCTTCAAGGCACCCGCCAAGGAGCTCCACGCTTCGAACTTTTCGAGGACGAAAAACCCTCGGAACTAAACCTTTAACGCATCTTCCGATCTGTCCGTAAATAGAGGAGGAGTAGTTGGAGCTCATATCCCCATCTACGAGATGGACTTGGACACGTTAAAGGGTCTGACAAGGAGCACAAGTGAGTTTGAGCAAAAGGTGGGTCCGGGAGGACCCGTGACCGTGGTTGAGCCTCGTAAACTTTATTCCCACCGCTCATGCTGATGCACAGCACGTCTTTAAACAATCAAGTGCAACCACTCAAAAGCCACCTCTATTTCAATCCCCGACCATACCTTCGGTGAGTCCGTATCATTCGTAATCGATCTTCAGCGCTGGAGGAACGCCACCGTTCGCAGATCCCCTTCACTGGGCGCTGGCACCGAGTGGTGATGGTTTCCCGGCCAGGGCAGGGATTTCTCCGCCATTTGTCGACCTGCTCCGTAGGGCTGACCGTCAGCTGTCCCCCATGTCGACGACCAGCAGGACAGATCAGCGTTGTATGAGTGTCGATCTGCGACATGTGATATTTGACTGTTCCCGTCACGATTTTCGTCTTGGCCAACACTGCTGGGAAGCAGAAGAAGCCGATGAGTTGGGGACCACTGCTTCTCTCGCTCTTTAATTGGCGGTAGGTGGATTAAATACGGAATACGCCAACACGGATATCTTGAGGTGGTACAAAGTACTTCTCTTCGCCCCTAGTACGGCTGACCTGTTGCATGCAGGTTTCCTTCAGCTGCGCCATGAGATTGTCAGTTCATTAGCTACAATGCGCTCTCACTCAGAACTAACCACCCATTGACATGGAGCCCTGGGAAACACCGTTCAGGACCCTGACGGCGAGGCAGAAAACCAGAGAACAAATGTCTGCCTGGCATGGGGGATACTGGTAGGTAGGCTTTACGAGTCGCTTGTTTTCGAAGTCTTATCGTTTTGTCGCACAATCAAGTCTTCCTGCCTATTTTTCCTGTACCTGGAACTCAACATCCTATTGTCGTGATACCATCCATCCATTGAATACAAACTGCCATCCCTTGCCTTCGGCAGAGAGTCCTTCATCTATCGAGTCGAGAGATTCTGGTCGAGGATTGAGGTACTTGGCCAATGTTCGCAGTATTTTGGTGGAAACCTGGTGGTCCACGGCTCCAGTCGATCAGTTTGCGTATCTGTATGACCAAACAAACTTGCGCAAGAAGATTATTATTTGAATAATGTTCAAGCTAGTTGCATTTCTGGTGCTCTTTGTGGAAACATCGTGGGCCCAGAAAGATCCGCTGCATGATTTCTGCCGACGATTTGGACATCAGACCACCGTGGTGGATCAAAAGCTCTTCATAGACGGAGGCCAGGTTGATTGGAACCCCATAGCGCAGAACAATCAAAACTATACAAGTACGTTGGACTTCTCTTCGTCGGCAGATTTGCGTCTCAGGGCACCATCTTCTCCACATTGGTACCTAGACTAAGCTTGTCTTCTAGACACTTGGCTGCTCTACAATGATCTTAATACGAGCCCCGCTGGAATTGGAGTCCCTCAGCTCTATGCGAACCTTTCGAAAAACTCGTCGATTCCCGATGTGACTGGAGGCATATTGTGGGGTGATGATGTGAACAAGAGGTTTTATTTATACGGAGGGGACTATTCTGGAATCTCGCCGAATACCCCGAATCTCCTGTCGTATGATCTTCTTTATAATCAATGGGAGTCTTTCGGAGCTCCTAACACACCGATACAAAGTGTATCGTGGGGTGGTGGGGTAGGAATTTCAGCGCTGGGACAAGGATATATTTTGGGCGGATGGTTGAGCAACAACTCGGTACCAGGCTGGACTGGTTCACCCTGGGCGACGAGTACATTGATCAAATATGATATGGACGCTGGAATCTGGTCAAACAACACTGGCCCGGATTCTACGCCGCGGGCGGAGGGTGTCATGGTGTATATTCCAGCAAGCTACTCGGGGCTACTGGTTTATTTTGGAGGAGTCACGGTTTTCAATGGCAATGGCACAAGTCTGTCGGCCTCAATGAGTACCATTCATGTTTATGATATTCAGAGCTCGAAATGGTATACCCAAACCGCTGTTGGGGATGTGCCTTTGGCGAGAAGGAGGTTCTGTGCCGGTGTTGCTTGGGCACCAGATAGATCTTCATATAACATGTAAGAGTTAAGCCCACTATACTTGTGGATCAGGAGCTAATTTCTGTAGATATCTCTACGGTGGCCAGGGATTCGGCGCAAATTCGACTGGCTTTGACGACGTTTATATTCTAAGCCTCCCCTCTTTTCAGTGGATCAAGTGGTGGGAAGGATCTGGAGTCGGTAAACCGCACCACTCTGTAACCTGCAACGTGGTTAACAGTGGTCAAATGCTCATTGTTGGAGGGACTTTTCCGCTCTCCGATGATTGCGATAGCCCAACGACTTGGGGTACACACAATCTCGATCTCGGGAAACAATCTGGGAAGATGTGGAATGACTACCAACTTAATATTAAGTCTTATGTGGTACCTTCCGAAATCATCTCTGTAGTTGGTGGCTCGTACGTGAATCGAAACACGAACCACGATGTATAGCTAACATGCTCTAGGTCCCTGGGCGGCGCGACGGCCACGGCACCAGCTGGCGGTTTCGAGAACAGCGACCTTGCTGTATACTTTACACAGCATGCCTCAATTGCATCTCGATCCCCAACGCGTGCCATACCGAGTCCTACGAAATCCGCTGGTCCCTCCTCTTCCAGAAAGCTCTCGACGGGAGCAATTACCGGAATTGCTGTGGGAGGCGGTATCCTACTCATTGCTGTGCTTCTAGGGGCGTCCTGCTGCATTCGCCGGTATAGACAAACTCACACAGGCGAACTTTCTCAAACGCAATACGACCCCGCACCTCAAGGTCCTTATTCTCAAAACGGACAGCATTTTCAGCCTCATCGCCAAAGCCAGCCTTATCAACTACCGGCTGCGGTGCCCGTCGAGTTGTCCGCGAACAACTATCAGATGGATCCAAAGTCCCAGCAAGTCCATGAATCACCACGCTACAGCGAGCGACAAGGCCAGCAACCAGTACCTCATATCTCACCTACGACTTCCCCACCCCAATCTCCAAGTTATAATGAGTGGCACGCACACCCACCAATATCTTACATCTCTCCCACAATCTCCACGCATCCTTCGGTTTTGACCGATGGGACGCAATGCAGTCCATCGAATACAACAGCGTGTGGGCCTCAGACCTCACCCGCCCCCACATACTCGAGTCTTGGAAGAACAAGGAAGCTTGTTCCGCCAAATCAGACGTATTACTCACCTTGATTAATTTGCTAAGTTTTTGAGCGATTCATTTTCACGGGCGTTTCCAGGGGTCTTCACGAGAACATGACATAGGGTCTCAAAATTGACAGCCGAGAGCCTGTAATTACTGTATACAACGGTCACGAATGAAATATTTCCAACACGTCATCTCTTTCTGCTTCTCTGTCTTGCCTCGAGTCTTCAAATGAATTTCCAATGCGAAGCCGCTACGTTTCATCTCCACCATTCTCAAGGTGTGCCCGCTTCTTTGCTCCAGCGAGCGTCATTTTAAGAGCACGAAACTGCGAAAGGCTCAAAAGAGTGACTCATTGATGGAGAACCAGTCTAGCAAATATATGGAAACATAAGTACAGTGTGTAATAATTTCTGCGTTCAGTCTCATAATCTCATTCCTAGTTCTCAACTTTCTATCCATTTTGTCCCGGCTTTTCAGGACTCCCGCCACCCACTTTCACTCCCTCAAGTGAGAGATTCAACCATTAAATTACGCAAATCGAATGGGACAAGTATCCCCTGCTCCGTCTATTCAGATCGATGACCTGCAGGAAGAGCTGCAAGCAATGAAGCAGCCGCGTCCTGTCTCTTGTCGTGGCCAGCAGGGAGGGCAGTAAGAAGAGAAGCAGCGGCGTCGTCTCTCTTTCAATGACCAGCTGGAAGGAGAGCAAGCAACGAGGCGGTAGTGTCTACGCTCTTTTCATGACCAGCTGGGAGGAGGGCTAGCAAAGTTGCTGCATCATTTGTTCTCTTATCGTGGCCAGCAGGAAGTGCTGCCAGCAACGAAGCCATTGTATCTTCTCTCTTTCCATGGCCTGCTGGGAGCAGCGCCGCAAAGAAGCGGCATCATTGGCTCTCCGACTTTCGGTGTGGCTGGCGGGCAGCTCGCCCAACAATGAGCTGGCATCGGCTCCCTGGTGGCTTGACTCTGCGCCTGCTGCGAGCGCAACAAGACCACCGACCTCGCGAGCGGTAAGTTGACCGAAGTCCTGGCCAACAGCCACGATTGTGGCCTTCGCATCTTCACTAAATTTGATGGGGGCGGTGAGAATTGTGGTAGCAAATGCGACTAGCGCGAGTGAAAAGACTGGTTGAGTGCGCATGTTGGCGAGCGTGATTGGAGATGAGATGATAGTGATGTGAGGTCGACGAAGAACAATTGAAATCATAGGAGCTTGAGAATCAGATCAGGTGCTAAGGGAAGTGCACAGTAATGATCCTTTTATTCGTTTAACTTCGAACGAGGCCTCGCAAAAAAAGGTCTTCTCGTGCTCCTTCCCGGTAGATTCAAACTCGGACATGTTTCTCCAACTTTCATATCGTATCAGGAGGAAACAATCAGCCAGTGAAATTAACAACTCCTGTCTCACACGAGGAGTTTCCGGGAGGGCATGAAGTTGGACCTGTGCTCTGCATCACACCTTACCAATTCCGATGACGAATTCACGTCCTGGAAGTCTCCAGTCCGGCGTAAATATGGTGATGCTTGAGGATTAGTGGTATTCAGCGATGGTGATACGAATTCGACGTCGGATTTGCATCAGGAAGGTCCCTGTTGTTTATGGAGTGCTGAGTAGATTCTCTTCCAGACGACGGCGCTTGGGAGACTCACTTGACGAAAACGTATCATAAGATCCCAAACAAGTAATGCATCAGCTAGACAGTAAACATCGGGGGTGGGGCGATGTGGATCTTTAATGTTGAAGTAAGCTTTTCATGGCACGGCGGGAAGTGCACAGACATGAGAGATCCGAGCGGCCCCGTTATTTCGAGGAAGTTGTCGCGATTGGTTTCCTTGTGGAAACATTATGCAGTTTGTTTCATTTCCGAATACTGAAAATCAGCCCTATCTATCTCCCTCTCAGTGATTTGACAACGTGGCGGCTGTTCGTGAGAGCTGGCTACTTTTGTATCAATTGATATGCAGAAGGAGAGTTCACATTCAATGCGCAATTACGTCCATGAAAATCAGAGAGTATCAATTAAGACTGCTGCTCGGCGAGTTGAAATGACTTGATGATAGTTCATTATTGTTACTTCATTTGGCACAGGGGTGGAACCATTTGGTCAGAGCAAAAACCTAAGAACAAATATGGCCTCCTTGCAGCTTAATCGATCTGAGAGATTACTCTTTCTCAACTGGGGCATTTCCAATCTCTCACAGTGTCTGTAGCTCCGCCCTCTCACTTGAAAGTTCCACAGGACTAATCGGTGTACCACTAAGTTCCGCCGCCCTCCTCCGATCTAGTTCTCCCTTCTCTTCAGAAGTCAAAGGTACGCTTGTATCTGCCAGCTCCCTCCGTCTTGGAATCCCGGGACCTAATTCTGGCTTGTTCAGCTCCCTTGCCCTGTCCCCTTTCCTCAGTGCTGCAGATCGTCTGCCGTACCAGAATGTGAACACGCTCAGTGCAAGAAAGAAGAGCACGCCAATTGTGACTCCAACTCCGATTCCAACTTTGGCCCCAGTAGATAGACCGCTTTGCTTTAATGTACTGGAAGATGTTGTACTTTGTTGCGGACTTTCTAGTTTGGCTTGGATGTGCTAGAGCTCGGGTTGGATGCACTAGAGCTTAGGCTAGACGTACTGGGGTCTGAGGTTGATGTGCTGGAGTTTGGATTTGATGTGTTAGAGTTCGGAGTTGATGAAGGAGATTTTGGAATAGAGGTGCTGGAGTTTGGGTTCGATGTACCGGTTGGAGTGTCACTCGAGGATGAAGCCGGCGGTGGGGCTCGGGTAGTTGAGCTTGAGGATATTGCGGGACTGACACTGGTAGGTGAGGAGGTGGACGAGGAAACGAAGGAGGGGGTGCAGTTCGGGAGGGTGAAGTCCTTGGGGCAGTTGCCGGAGCTACAGTAGACTATACAGCTAGGAGGAAGATCTATTAGTACGAGTTGTGCGGGGTGTGCAGAGATATTTGGAGACATACTTCTTGGCGCAAGCTGCGTCGCCAGAGGTGGAGCTTGTTTGCCAACACGTCGCAGTGTTGACCCCAAGTGGAGGTTCACCGGCGAGGTTATCGTCGCAATTACCAGGCTGAGCGACTCCATCAATACACCGAATGATGATATTACTCGATAGAGATTGCTAGAGCAGAAATCTCCGCCGGAGGCTGGGCAGACGATCTGGGATCCGTTGCTATTGGATCAAAAGGTTAGTCGCATTTGACCTTCGTCGCGTTTTCAGCTCTGCTGCCCTGCGCGACTTGTAACATCCCCCACCCAGGAGAAGGTTTTCATGTTGGCAGCACTCACAACGTGATTTGAGCTGATGCGATCGTAGCAAGCGCCGCGGCAGCGATCACTTGAGAGAAAATCTTCACTCTGGAGACGAGGTATGACTGAGCTGAGGAGAAGTATTGAAACGCCCAGCGTTGAGTGATGGACGGCGATCTCCATCTCTTGGCAAGCCACGCCAGCATCTTGTGAACAAGGGCTTTCCATTTTCATCACTTTTACACAGCCAGAATCATGTACTGCTCCGGGGGAGTTCAATCTGAATCTGCGACGAATAACCATTCTACTATGATTGTCGATATCGAGCTATATCGTCCGCTTAGACAGGGCAATACTATACGCCTGCTGAGACTCTCGAAATCTTCCCTAGAAGCACATTCTCCTCTGGAAATGACGGAGCACTGCCTCAATGTCGACACCACCGAACTCCCGGAGTTCTTTGGTCTTAGTTACTGCTGGGGAACTCTAGGCCATACGCAGACCCTTTCCGTCAACGGATCTTGCATAAAAATATCGGAGAATCTGAACCGAGGACTTAAGGAGCTGGCTAAGCTTGACGAATACAATGGGCAGATCTGCGTTAATCAACAGGATCTGGTTGAACGTTCCCACCAGGTGACCATGATGCAGCGCATATATCAAACCGCAGTGAAGACTGTCATCTGGCTTTTCTCGCCGCTTGGCCTGTGTGGCGTTCCTGAACATTACGACAGAGGTTGGAATCTCGCGGAAAAGCTATGGAGCCTTGGGCATAGCAACAAGGATTGGGCCAACAGTGTTCCTTGGCTTAAGGTGCCCCATCCTTTGCAACGCGTGATCCAAGGCCCGTCTCTTGCATCGCTCGGTCTTCCCGACGTCACCAATAGCGCCTGGCAGGAGCTCAAGAGCATCCTGAGCAACGACTGGTTCTCACGCGTATGGGTGATCCAAGAAGCTGCGCTCTCACGCTTGCCTCCATCAATAGTGCATGCGGGTCGTAGTCACTCACTAGAGCCAATCCTTTGGTCGGGTGCTTGGCTGTGGCAAGTTGAAGGGCCAGCACTTTCAATTAGGATTTCGCATTCTGACCTCTCAAACGTCTACACTATGTTCACTATTGTCTTAAGTCAAACGCTATGGCGTATCGAGCCGCTTTTGATATACACAGACGACGTAATGGCAACGGATCTGCGAGATAAGGTTATTGGGTTAATGGGACTGGCGGCTCCCGAATCGTTGCCACGCGATTGGGTTCCGAACTACCACAATACCACTGTGGCGGATGTGTATCGCGATATTACGCGCGCAATTGTTTAAGAAACTAGCAATCTCTTGATGTTCGAGAGCCTGAATTACAATTGTGGATCCGGATACCACTTGCTGCAGGATTTACCTTCACGGACGCCACGATTCTGCGATGTGTGGTCACCTGTCTTCACCACGGTGCTGGACCAGGACGGAGAGAGCGTTGCTCAGCAATGGCGCCCAGGGTTTGAAGCTTGTAGGGGAAAGCCGGCCCAGGTATTTAAGCAGAGTGACCCGAACATCCTCCCTCTCCGCGGATTCCGAGTTGAGGAAATAGCGTGGGTATCTGCAGTACCAAATTGGGAAGAATCCGAGCCAAATAGGCTGCTTCGCTGGGTAATAGACGGTGTGCGTCGGTTTTGTTTGGACGGACGAGAGTCGCCAGAAGCTTTCATCAACAGGTTTTTCCGTATAGCTACATTGGCAATCGGTATTGATGAATTGCCGACAGGTGTGGATTTGGTTGAGCACCTTGCTCGACAAGACGATCTCATGTCAAGCGGTCACTCTTTTGCAGCACAGATGTTATCCTTAAACTCCGACAAGCTGGACTTGGAAGACGTGGAGAATGTATTAGAAGGCAGACGTCGAATTGATTCAAACTTTTTCGTCACGACGAACGGAAACGTTGGGTTTGGGCCTAAGTGGACTGCCAAAGGCGATTTTGTCGCTGTATTATATGGTTGTGAAGCTCCAGTTATAGCTCGTCTGCGTGAAGATCAAGATCGATATCTTATATTAGGTTGTTCATATGTATCCGGTTGGATAAAGGGGGAGGCAATTAATCTTTTTGAGAAAGGTAAGATTAAAGAAAGCTGGCTTTGGTTTCTCTAATATATATAAATAAAAACGAATATAAAAATATAAAAAAACCCTCAAAAATAAATAAAAGAATTAAAAAAAAAACTTTTTTATAATTCCTTTTTATTATAAATAAAAATCAAATGCCTTAAAATTAAGATTAAGGGATTCAATTATTTTATCTAGCATTAATTAACTATAAAAGTATTATATATTATATAATAATATTGATTATTATTATAGCTAAATTCCGCCTGGCACTAGCAGCCTATACTATAAATGCTAATGCAAGCAGATTGTTGTTTACGCTAAATCCGGCAAGCCCTACTTTGCCAACCTGACATCACCCCGGGAAATGGCAAATAAAGGCCGTCGAAGAGGGGGATATGCCTTTGATAATGTTGCTAGTGAGGAAGAATCATAAAAATATCAATACTATTAATGGATGGGCTCGAGAGCTTGAAGGAGTAGTTGATTTTGGATCTGGTCTGGAGAGGGATCCATAGACAGTCAATTGATAATAATTGAGTCCAACATGTTTCCTTCCTTTGAACCGCGAAACAACGGTATGAAGATGCCGGAGTTCTTCCGGCTCAGATCTCCAGTGGTGCAGCTATATTCATTGTCCTTCTCATCGAGTCATCGTCCACTTCTAGCGTCCATCCTTAATATGATATCCCACCATGATAACCGAAAAAATTGGCAAACTCATATATGCCGCGAGGAAATCAGCTTACGAAAACGGATTCAGCATTAAGCGCCAGCCGTTGAAGAGAACGAGGAAAGTACCCCCGAGGATCGCATACGCTGAGCGCAGCCATTGTCCGTGAGATTTATATGGATAGGTGGAAGCATTGCGGTTCGGAAAGTTACCTTCGGGAGCGGCTACTACAACGTCCTTCGTTTGTTCTGGCAGACTAGTCAGAGCCAAGAAAGTTTGGATGTTCTGAAAAGGCATGCCAGATCTTGAAGTACCGAAAAGCGGTGCTGACGCATGCGTAGACAGTCAGCATAGAGTAAGTCAAGAATATAGCCATTCAGCCTAGGATCTAAACTGATTAGCAGGGTGAACGAATGAGATTCATCTGAGCAGTTCATACTCGGGCTGGAGATGGCTTGACTGCGAGAAACCCCAGTATGCCAAATACCAACTGGCAAGGATAGCGTTCACGGGCACACGTTTGCTTGAAGCCTTCTCCAATCGAATATTTATACTACCCGCCTAACTTGTTGCTAAGCAAACGTTTATATTACTTGCAAGCGCATGCAATAATCTCGAGGATATATATAAGTCGTTGATGGCCGTCGAAAAAGTAGAGAAGATAATGAAAGCATTGAAAAAGTGTGGTAAGCTGAGAACCTCGTTTCGGATGCAAGCTAGGTATGAGGTTTGACCTTGACGGATCGAGCTAATGCTTGCATCTCGCAAGTTTTTGTCGTTGCAAGGTACATTGAGACGAACTATGAACACAACCAGGATGTAGAGCATGATGACTTGAAATGTGATTTTCCTGGTTGCGAGTTTGACTCGTCTCTTTCGACGTATTTGGTTTCTGTAGCAGTCGCAGAGACGGCGAAGAAAGCTTGCGTCGAGAAGATAGCAATACTCAGCCCAGACCATATCCAAACAAATATCTCCGTATTCCCAGTGAAGGTATAATTCTTGGCACCCGGGCCCGTTGTGCTGCTGATAGATACAAAAACAGTGTGCCCCTGCCAATCCCTGCAATATCCCTGTTTTGCTCGCGTAGCATTCCTAAAATATAGATATACGCCCAAAGGAGAAATAACAGAAGGCCAACTCTGATTGGAATATATAAGCACCCTCTCTGGGCAGACCCTAGAACGGGTACTTATATAAAGAGAGAACTATTAAAATCCTTCTGGCCTCCTATTAGAAAATCATTAATTCTATAATTTTTTTATATATAATACCTTATTTCTTATATACTATCTTATAACCTTATATATATACTTGCTTCCTTAGGTATAATATACGTTTATTGCTTTTACCTAAGATATATCTTTTACTAAGCCTTATAAATAGCTTTTATACTATAATATTATATTTTTATATATTAATACTATAATATATAATTTCTTATTTATTAAGTAAATTTAAGATTTAACTTTCCTTTATTATAAAATGAATTCTATAATAAAGAAAACTCTATAAAATTAATTTTATAAGTATTTTTTAATATTATTTTAGTAAATCAAATTCTTTTTTCTTTATATTATAATAATAATATAATATAAAGTATTAAACTTATTAATAGTAATCTTATATTAATAAAGAAATAAAAAGAATCTAATATAAGCGAAAATATTATTAATTTATATTTCTTATTATTTAAAAATATAAAAAATATTAATATAAATAAGATATTTTAAATTATACTTTAGCTATTACTATAAGAAATATAAATACTAAATATAAATAAAACATAAAATCAAGTTATATTATACTAGTTATAAAAGAGGTTATTAAGCTTTTTATTAGTCTTATATAAATTATAATTCTTTTTTTAGTTTTATAATATTATTAGAATATATTAAAATATATTTCTTTATTTTTTACTTTTTATATTATTTTATATTATAGTTATTTAGTAAATTATATCTTAATCTAATTATTAAAAAAGACTTATTTATTAAGTAAAGAATCTATATAAATCTATTTTATTATATATTAGAATAAAAATAATTAATTATAAAAATAAATATTAAATAATAATATAATATATACAGGATTATATGTGACTTAAAGGCATGTAATAAACCTCGGATATTGCGGGTATTAATTAGGGAAATCGGTGGTTCTTTGACTTTATAACTAATTACTATTTATATTATAAGTATTAGGCTTATAAATTATTAATTATATATATATTATTAGGGCCTCCTATTTAGAGGGGGCTTCCCTGAATCTTATAGGAGAAATAGAGATTAGTTCTATACTAAATTTAATATTATAGTTTTATAACTCACTAATTTATTCTATTATCTTATTACCTACTAATAAATACCTTATAAGCTAATCTTTCTATCCTTAAAAAAAGTAGTTTAATAAGTAATTATATCTCGAAATCTACGAAATATATAATTCCTTACTAGAGCTATTCTTATAAAGAAAGTTAACTAAATTAACTCTAATACGAGTAATAATAAAGGCTTATTTAATACTTTTAATAGGGCCTCTTAGGAGCCTCCGAGAGCTAGTAATAATAATAGAAATAATTCCGGTAATAATTAAGATACTGAGATTAATACCTAAGTTACTATTATTTAAGCTATAGAATAGAGATTATATACTAATATTAAAGTACTCTAATAAAAGCAAGAATTAGTAAATATAATTAATTAATATATCCTATAATTAGAATAATATAAGAGTATTCTTAGGAATATCTTATGGTTTATTATATCTTATAGAAACTCTATTTATAAGTTTATTTTATCTTTCTTAATAATTTTTATTAGAGAACTTCCTAAAATAGGATTAGAACCTACTTTTTTTCCTAATATAATAAGCTTTAAGAGTAATCTTAATACTATTTATTAGAAGCTATTATATAATATTCTAAAGATATATTTAGATTAAGAGAAGCTTTTTAAAATCCGGATATCTGATTTATATTATAGAAAATTTCTTAAAAAATAGAGAATATTTATATTTTCTTAGAAAATAGTCTTTAGGACCTAATCTTAGACTTATAATAAATACTTTTCTAGAGTTAATTTTACTATAAATACCTTTAGGAATAAATCTTATAATACTTGAGAGGCTATAATAAAGTAAAGCCAATTATTATATAAGATCTATTAGAAGTAATTTA